AGAAAAATTATAGACATATGAAAAAAGGCGGTGGGAAATAATAAGTAAAAAATAACAAACAACATTTTATTTAAAAAAAAAAAAAATGAGTTAATAAAAAACCGGAAAAAAAGCCGGAAAAAAAAGATATAATCTTTTCTTCAGCCCACACGATTATATCCGCAAAACAGAGTGCTTTCTGATATTGTATCAATAAAGCCAAAGCAAAATATATTAATACAATAGTGTGAGGAGCACTCAAAAAATTTTTTTTTTAAAATAACTAACAACAAATGAAATAGATCACAAAAAGTACAAATAAGTAAAAATAACATGTAAAAACAGATAATAAAATAAAATAAAAAGAAAAAACATTAAAAAGGGGGGACTATAAAGCGAGTAGCAAAATCATAACAACTTACATGGACAGATATTTTTCAAGAATGATTTAAAAATGTTTTCGCAGAAAGATTGCCAGATTACAAAATATGAAAACAAAAGATGAAAACAAAAGCGCAAATTGAGTGTAACAAGAGGGTTTTAAAGTGTCGTTCTTACTGCACTGCTGAAGTGATTTGTTATTCTGAGTTTTGATTTGTTAGTTACCAAGGATGGGCCCGAAATGGATGTGCGCAAGGTAATATTATACTGGATAATTTTAAAAATTGATCATAAATAGTTTTAGAAGATAGATGTTTATTTAAGAAAAAATATAAAATAGAAAAGAGAAACATAAATTGCCTGCTTTGCAAATAATTTTAGCCGCGGATTTGCACGATATGGATTAGCACATAGAAAAATTATTTAAATTATCAAAGAAAAAATTTTAATAGATAATTTTACCACGGATTTGCCCGAAATGGATTTGCACATGGAAAGATTAACAAAGAAAAAATTTTAGTACATAATTTTAGCCACGGATTTGCCCGAAATGGATTTGCACATGGAAAAATTACAAAATTACATAAAATTACATAAATTACATAAATATATATATATATCGCTCGATTTTTGCATTTTAAAGATCGATATTTTTAATGGAAGATCAAAGTTATATGTCAAGAAGAAATTCAACACATGTTGTTTTTAAAATCATAATTATTGTTTTGTTTCTGCTCGTTTTTCCATTGCATTTCATTTATTTCAATTTAAAATTTTATAGTTCAATTACTCATAATTCACTAGAAATTATAACTTTTTTTAAAAGAGGAATTAGTTTTAAAGATAATTGATTTAAACTCTTAAGATTTTACGTTAGAACACATTTCAAGTGGGTTTAAATTAGTATCGAGCAAAGCAAACCCAATAAAACTGCATTCGGTGGTTGGGGAGCCCACTACTTAATGATAAAATCTCATTCTTCACATTAAATACTTTTGAAATAATTAGCTATTTTTTTCTTCATGAGAAAATTCATCTTTTTATAATAAGTTTGTAATGTAAAGGGTTAGTGTTTCATAGCTGGAAAAAAAAACGTTGGAACCGTTTGTCTAGAGCAGTGGTCGTGAAAACTACGTTATTTCTGTAGTTTACTATAACTACTTTGTTCCAAATGTATTAACTATAACTACTTTGTTCCAAATGTAATTAACTACACCTACTTTTTTTTTAAATGTAATGACTAGAAACTACTTTGAAATTTAGTAACTACTTTAAGGAGACGAACTTTGCTGGAAATTTACACCAAAATGATTTTGAATAAGAAATAGGCTTACATTAAATATAAGGCTCACATAAATTTAAGAAATGCAATCTAATACTTGAAATTTTTAAATTGTTCTTTTATTTTCTAAGAAATGAAGTATACATCAAAAACACGTTCCCTTCTTTTGAACGAGTGTTAATACATTTTCTAAGATAATTAAAATTTACAGATTCAAATTACATATCCATGTCACCCACCGTTTTTTAGATATACTTCTATTTATACTTCACTGGAACCTATTAAATTGACATTTACTAAACAGTCGGTCACATCACATATAGAAATACATTACACACAAAATCCATATACACTGAAAATATATCCTTCAGTGTTGTACACATTTTGAAAGTTCACACAGCAACAAATGGAAAAAAGCTAAGAAATAATAATAATAAAAGGACTAAAAGTAACCAGAAAATAAAAAGGTTTAAAAAAAATTTTTAAAAAATTAAAAAAACAGCACTATAAAAATTATATTTCATTACGATTTAGGCCGCTGAGCGAATGAAGCCCGAATTTAAAGAAATTAATTATTTAATTTCGTGATATTTTTGTTAAAAGAAATGAACTGAAAAAGGATTCATTTAAATTTCATGGAATTCTGCAAAATTTATCATAATATTACAGATTTTCAATCATTACACAAATTGAGTTGTAATAAGGCTTTATCAACTAATGATTCTTTTTTTTTTTTTTTAAATTGTATTGAAATGAAATAATTCGTATAGTTTGTCAATATTTTTTACTTATTTAAAAATGACCTCCTGAGAAGTTATCGTTAATGGATACGTTATACATAGTAATATTATTAAGTATTAATATATATTGTATTATTAATACTTATAATTAAGTATTTCTTAATTATAAATAATGTCTAATTGTATTATGTACAATTAAAAAAATTAGAATATGCATTAAGATTTTGTTTCCGCAAGGTTCAAAATTCCGCAATTGAAAAAATAGCCACCTTTAAAAATGTGACTACTAACTAGTAGCCGAGAAAATAAAAAAAAAATCATAACCATGAGTGTTCCTGTAGTGATTTTTGTAAAAAGAAATCATCATTCAAATGTAACAATTTTAGGAATTGTGCAGGATTATTCATTCAGTTTAAAAATGTTACACAGTTCCGGATGTTTCATTCTATAGAGGATATACATTAAAAACGTCATTTCCGATGTGAAAAACCGTATCAACCACAAAATATTTAGATTCCGTTGAATTTGTTACTACATTTCTTTAGGTTTAAAATGTGGAAATTTCGATTTTAGAACTTTTATGGAGAGTAAAAATAAATCTTATTCTCTTTAGTAAACCTTGTTTAATTAATCTCATTGCTTGCAATAATAATTTTTATTGATTACTTTAAGAAAGATCAACAAAAGTAAAAATTTATAGTTTCAGAGCAATAAAACATTGAGATGAAATTTTTCTTTCTGAAGAAATAAAAGTTATATGCAAGACCTTATTGACACGGAATACCCCAGCTTAACTTTGACCCCATCAGTTAGTAGCTGGGGCATTCATCGAATTCTGTGTCTATGTGCGCATAAATGGATTTGGACGTCGTTTTAAAATCCCTATCTCACACTTCGACTTAAAGGCATAGATTCTGCATAGTTGGAATTCTAATCATAAGTTTTCTTCTGTTAAAATCATTCAACACTGTTCTTCATCTACCGAATGTGAATTTTGGGAGTCATTCCATTCCCTCTTATGAAAAATTCTAATTATTTAGTTGTTAGTAATTTTTCCGGTATTCTACCGGTACCGGTTCTTATATTTGGTAGTCTATTTTAATTTAATCTGTTGCACCCACAGCCAAATCTCCTCTTACATGTTTTTTATCTTCTCTTTTGACTTTTTTATGATATCTCTTTCTAACTTGTTCTTATGTCGAAATTGGTTAAACCACTTTGCACGTTTATGTTCTTTTCACAACTCTACCCTCATCATCGTGTGTTCAGACATAGAAGGTTCTTGTATATAGAACTGAAACCATAGTATGTCCATTTCTGCTCTTCCATTAGTGCTTTTTTTTTTGTATTTTTTTCTTTCAGTTAGATTTAATTGGATGCCTGCGAGTGATGTTACGCGTGTATGTCGAACTTGATAGGCTGATGACGCAATGATCGTCGTTTGCAAGTATCCAATCATTTAATGCTAAACGATTTCCTAAATTTATTTTCTTCTCGATGATCTATTGAAATAAAATTTTTTGAAATAACTAAGATAAAATTATGAATTCGAATTTTCGCCGTTTTGTTTCAAGATGCTTAGGCTTGCGAATCATTATTTCAGGTTCAATGAAATACGTATATGACATTTATTAACTATTTCCAAGTTTTTATGAACTCGATTTGATGTCAGTGAAACCTTGCCTTCGAAATTTCCACCACTTTCTGACTGACTACGGGACGTGTTTCTTGACAATACAAGTTTCAATCGTTTCATGATAGATATTTTATCTCCAAATATAATGAATCAACAATTAAATTTTTAATTCATTTCCGACTATCTTGAGACCTTCTTTGGAGATCTGTGCTTGATGGCAACACAAGTAACACTTGGTACCTAAAGGGTGCAAATAAAACTTCAACTCTTTTCCGACATAAGGAAATTAGCACACATATTTTGAAAGAAATAAGCTAAAAGAAGACGTTTTTCAAGTAGACTGGAAAAAAAAAGGCTTATTTTTGACAATCCTAAAACGTAGGGTGCATCACTTTAATAATTAGCTTCTATCACCACAGAAAATATCCCTTTTTGACAAGAATAGAAGTTTTCTTGACTTCAGAAAGTGATTGCGCCCTGTTTTATGTCAGAAAAAAATGAATTCGTTTTTTTTCCCTTTAGCCCACTTGAAAAATGTAATTCCCAAAATTTTCTTTTCTTTTATGTCAACCTCTTTCTTATAAAATATATATAATATATTATTAAGCATACACATTCCAAAAAGAAAAACTAGTTTTATTTTTGCCAATATTAAAACATTATACGTAGAGAGGGCGTATCTCTTTCGTCATTATAACTTCTAAAACCACACAAGACTATTTCACACGAAATGATGCTCTTGCAATGGTCTTGCATATTTTCGTGTTACGTCTCACAAAAAAAAAAATTTTTTTTTCTTCTTCTTTTTAGTAAAAGATATAGTTTTTAAAATTTTCATTTTATTTAATTATCAACTGTGTCGTCTGTCTAAAAAATAAATATAAGAATTTTCAATGACAATTCGTAGAATGTGGATCACACAATTAGCAATAAACTAAATTTTCTGCCTCATCTAATAAATCATCAAATTAAGAGTGAGGATGAGAGAGAAGAAACGAGAAGCATCAGTCATGATGACTTTTTCGTGCTCTAATCAAGTTTCCTAAACCGCACTACTTCCCTCCCCTCCCCCCTCTCTCCAATCAACGAAAGAAACAGGAAAAAAAATGATTTCTAGTTTGTGCGGTTTCAAAGTCAAAAATAAATAATATAATGTAAAAAGAAAGAAAGGGAAACAATTTAAAATGTCGAATGGTCCATAATAAATGCCCAGTGATTGAGAAGAGTTGATATCATAAAAGACTAAAGATGAAGAATTTTTTCATCATAGTGTGTTTATTGGTGTTTGCTTTCTCCATTGAAAATGCACCTTTACCTCAAGAAAAAATGCCTTCCAAGGAAATGGTAAGTTTTAGATTTATTTTTGAAACCGGTTTTTCATAGTGCATTAAAAAAAAAAGAAATGGTAAAAAGCTTCAAAAGAAAGCTTAACTTTCTCTACTATTTAAAAGTAGTTAAATCGAAAAGTTCGTGTATAAAAAATAAAAAAAAATTTCCCCATGATTTTCAGAAAAAGGTATTTAAAATAATAATAATAAAAACATATTAATGAGTTTAGATTAAAAACTACAATGAAGCATCGTTTATTATACTTATTTGAGGAGACGTGAATACAAATGAAAAATCTTTTAACTGAAAATTAGAAAAATTTATAGAAATTCTTCGAAAAAATAATAATTTTTGTAACGTAATAACATTGCTCATTAGATTTGACAGCAAATATATCATTCATGTAGAAAACAATATTGGTCGAAATAATTAAAATTAAAAACATCTATTACAAAAGTGAAAAAAAAATCATACTTTACTCCTTTTGTTCACAAATCTATACAACTATTACCATACAGTTAAACATTAAATTCAAGAATGCCGCAAAAATTGTTTTCTATACGAAAAACACCGATGTGAAGGAAAGTGGCAGAACAGATCTGCTTCTATACAAAATGGATATATTCTACCACTTAGGATTTAAAGAACACTTTGTTTTCAAATCCAAATATAAATATTTCTAATGGTAGGAAGAGCTACCTTTTTTCTTCAAAGTAAATCCTTAAAATAGAACACTTGTGCTAACACTTTTTTTCTCTTTTGAAAATATTGAGCGTTTTTTAAAAGAACGTTAAGCACAAAAAAGTTTTTTAAAAAATCTTCGAGCTATAAGTTGAAAAAAAAATATCAAACAAATTTAAGGTCTTAAGTGAAATATTCATCGAGGGACAAATATTTATGAACTTAAAAAATTTATAATAAATTTTAAAAAAAGAATAAAAACGAAAAAAACGACATATTTTCTATGATTTTTTTTCTTTCTTTTTCATCTTTAAATGAACTGTTTCAACATAGCATAGATTAAAAGGTTTCAAATGCTATTTACAGTGCAAAATATCAACTATTCGACTGCACACACACGCAAAAATTTAATTATGCTCCTATTCTGCATATGTTTCACGTGAACAATCAATGCAGCAAGTGAAAAAATAAACTTGAATTTTTTTCAGTGTAAATTATGATAATGTAGTATATGTCATGCTAGTATATCACAACTGGTTGTTTTCGCATTTTATCAAATTTAGTTCATTCCAAAAAACTATTGAGAAAGACAATCGACTTCTTTAGAAATCGATTTTTAACATTTATTTAGAGGAAAAGCTTTTTTATTTTTATTGATTCAATTGAAGTTGGATTTTATTTTATAAAGTAGCATGACAAATCAATATTAAATATTAACTGAGAGCTGAGCATTAAAAAAAATCAGAGTTCTTAATTTAAAGTTGCTATAAAATAAAATAAAAAGATTCCATATTTAATCAATATTTTGAGGGAGGAAAATCTGAAATGTGTTCAAGCATTAACTGAACTTTTCATTGAACAAAATTTAGCAGAGTTTATTCATTAAATACTTAAAATTATATACATGTGCAAAATTATTTTTTAAATTTACACAAAATTAAATAATTTAGTTAATAAATACCATTATAAGAAATGCAATAAATAACCCTTATAATAAAAATTAACCCACATCATTATCACAGAAAGATTAGTAACATAAAATAAATTACAATCCAATGTGACCACACTAGCCACATTAAGTTACATGTTAGTTCCAACTCATTATTAATTAACTAAAAAGGGCGAATAATAAGTGAATCCTTAAATATGTAATTAGTTCATTTATCAAATGATGTCCTTTATTATTAAAAATGATAAATAAAAAATAGACAATTGCAACATCTCTTTGTTTGTTTTTTTAAATTTCTATCCTAACTTATTGGAAATTCTCTTCTGAATCTGATAGTTGTTCCCCCAAATGTATATTTATTTAATTATTAAGCATTGCCCAAAAAGACCTCCGTGGGTGATGCAATCAAAAACGATTCCTGATGAGGCTATTTCAATGCTCTTTCAGTTTTGATATCACTTATTATCATATGAATATCCTTTGTAAATTATTAGTAAAATTTTTGTTCATTAAATTTAGGGCATTGAGAGTGTGTGCAAAATGGAAGAAAGATTTTTGAAACTGTTTATTTCTCACTAAAATAGCTGAAGAAGAAATGATTCTTCAGAGCGAATCAACACTTCTTTCGGCTAAAATCAGTGGTTGTTCATAAAAAAATATTAATTTATTACACTTATTTTGAAGTAATTTGCTCAATTATAACCTAATTGCTCAAAATCAATCGTAGATTAGATACAAATGGTATACATTTAGATAAAGGGTGGATTATTCGGTATTGCATTAAAGAAATCAGTGTTTTCATAAATCAAGTTCATTGTCCATCCATCATCGTCACACGCTAAATATTTAATTTTGCCTTTTTTTTTTTCCTACTAGAGTTGTAGGATTTTAAGTAAATATTTACTAATACAGTTTATTTCTTCTTCTTCTTTTTTTGTGTACTATGTATTCAATATTTAAACACACATTAATGCTCATATCTATTCTCAATATTATTCTTTGAGTCAATAGGAATTTCGCTATAATTGGAAAATTATTTTTACTTGGAATTTTAATTCCTCTTTCTGCAATATAGTATTTACCATGTATGATTATTGTTAATTTTTCTCCTTATTTCTGCAAATTATTAGCAAAGAAGAATTCTAAAATAATAAAATGAATGCATTTTAAATTTTTAGTGAAAACAATTTAATTAAAATAGGTGAAAAAAATTACAGGTATCGCCGAAAACGAATCAATACTTTTAAGAACCTAGTCCAATGAAATACATCTGCCCATCATTATCGCCCCAGTTTATGTGCTCATACTTAAAATATCTCATTTAATTTAGTCACATAATTTCTGCGAATATCATGTAGCTAGACGTTTTTGTTTCACTTAAAGCTAAAGAATTAGAAAAAATAATAATAAAACTTATGCAAAATGAAAAGAAATTCTAATCTACATATATAATTAAGTATATAATAATATATAATTAAGCTTAAACCATTTAAACATTATATATTAAATAATTAAATATGCAGTAATGCTAACATCATTTCTTACCATTTTTATTCTTTGAGTAAATAGGAATTTTGCTATGATGAAAAATTATTTTTCTATACATTAAAAAATTTAGTTCCTCTGTCTCTAATGTAAAACTAAATAAATGCATATGCTTGATTTCAATACTCTTATACTGTATTAACGAAATTAAAATAAAGTTAATAAAATCTACTTGAATACATTAATTTCTTCTTTTTTTTTCGTTTAACTTATAATTTTTTTTTTTTTATAAAGAATGTATTAAAAGTTTTGCTGAGATCACAATTTTTTAAAAAGGCTATTGTTATGTTGAAGATAATCCCCTGCATTAAATTCAAACTAGAATAAATAAATAAAAAAAATCAATAACTTAACCTTTATACTGCATTTTTAAGATCTAAAACTATTCCATATAAAAAATTCATTCAACCTTTTTTTTCACTTAACATAAAAATAATTACAGTTATGTCTTAAAGCTAAGTTTAACATGGTTAAAGAAATGAAAGAACAAAATTATTTTGTATTTATAACGCATCATTTTACTATGTAATATCAGGCATCCATAACTCATTCTAACTCTTCTTTTACTAAACTAAAAAATATTTTTTAGTGAGTACCCTATAAATTATTCGATGTTATTATTATTAGGAAATATTATAAAAATACGCTATTTTAAGTCACATTTTTAATAAGCTGCAATAGAGCACAATTTATTATATGCCGAACTTTGTACTCACATAGTTATTTACCATTTAAAATTGTTGGATTTAATTACGAAAATTCAAACGAAAGCAAAAGCGTATAATGGCTTTCACAGTGCGGCAATTGTATAAGGAATGGGAGATGGAAACGAGTGACGTCAGTTCGTGAATAATCACTAGTCTCCCAGTTTCAGATGAAAACGAAAGCCTTTTTTGCTTAAAAATAACTTAATACATAATTATCATTCCTAGAAAAGTAATAAAATGTTTTTCAATGGTTTTGAAAGATTCTTAAGGCATTAAATTTTTTAAAAAATTGACTGTAATTGTCCATTATAACCAGCGCTATTTTAAAAAACCTCGTCCAGAAAAAAATTTAAAAAATATGTCTTATCAAGTTGTTTCAAGAATGCTTAAATTTTACATCAAGAATCTTTAAAATGTGTCACTGTTCAAAAAAATATTGACACACTATTCTAATAATACTAAAAGACACTAAAAATCTTTGAAAAACAGTTTTGCCGCAAGATGATAACCCCACAGAAAAATTTTGGACAAAACGATTTTTTTCTACTTTTGATTATTACTTTCTCTCTCTATAAAAAAAAAATGTTATTTAAAAGTATAGGGTCATAATTATCCCTTTTTTTTTTTATCAGAACGACCATGATGCTTAATGATGTCTAAAAATTAATTATTTCAAACTGTTGCAGAGAAATACACAAAAAGAAGCCTTTTTTTTATTCTTTAAAGAGGAAGTGTTGCGAGAGGGTCCTCAACATAGTCAAGAGAATCAAGAACATCTAAATTCAATTTATTTAACAATTACAGAAGAAGAATGTTTGATTGGACAGATCATTTTATCATTTTTATTTTATTTCTGATATTTTTATTGAGGACCGGAATCTTTGAAAACACCTTCAGTCGTTGTGACAATCTAACAAAATTCCAGAAAATTGCCTGCAATTTTTATAAAGCAGAGTGTAAAGATTTATATCAAGAATCAGATAAAGTCTGTTTTGTAAAAAAAAAAATTATTATTATTATTATTATTTTAGATATTTAAAGAATCAAACTATCAGTTTAAACCATTTAAACATTTAATTAAAAAAAAAACGTTAAAAAGTTCAAAATTAAAATCAAAAGTGATCTTAATTATCTATCTGACCCTAGTCACTTTTCCACCAGAAAAATCTAATTTTTTTCATTTTCTACTTAACAATACAAGTCCCGCGTCTCCATCATATGCTGCGCTCTTTTCACAAAGTGGGCTAAGGCGTCGCTCACAGTGATGACTGGAAAGCCGGGGATTGTGAGTTCGATCCTAGTGGTCGACAAAAACAACTGGCGTGTTTATGCAACAGACTAAAAGTGGTTGTGGTATGGAAAGAGGGTTACCAACTCAGGCGCTGTCGCTTGATCAGGATCAATACTACGTGGCATTCCTACCATTACAGTTAAAAAAAAATAGAGACTTAAAAATTAGATTTGGCCATGGTTGGGTCTGGGTGATGCATCTCCATATGAACGTGAAACACATTCTTGTCAATATTCCTATAATAGACTGAGAAATTTTCAATGATTTAGAGAGATACAAGGTGAGTCATAATCGCAGTCCTTAATATGTATTTTTGGAATCTTTATCAAAAAGGAAAATTAAAAAAACATGCAGATCACGCGTTACAAATAAGTATTGGAGTGGGGAAGGCGGGCGTAGAAATATTGGAACTAGTTTGATTGCCATTAAAAACTTGAAGAGGTTTCTAATAACCACTTTTCAAATGCTCTCTGTTTTCTCATGCGTTCAATCGGGTTTTGATGCTTTTAACCCTACCATCCGCAATAGTTATTATTCATCATAATTCAACATCATTAGCTTAAATATTAATGCGTGACCTTTAATGTCCATTTTTTTGGACCTAATTTTTGACGAGTATTCTAAATATAAATAAACATTAAGGATGGTCTCCAGTAAAATTGCACTGCTGTACATAGTTTTCAGTTAGAAAAATAGTAATAAAAGTACTTTTATTTTATTATTAGGAGAACTTCATGAAACGCTTTGGGTACATCAAGTCAGGGGGACCCAACGATGCGGATGCCCTTATAACAGTGGAAGGTTTTAAAGAAGCCATCCTTCAAATGCAAAGGTTCGGTGGTTTACCAGAGACAGGCGAAATGGACGAAGCCACCATCAATCTCACCAAAGCAGCGAGATGTGGAGTGCCTGACATTATTGTGACGAATAGAAGAAAAAAAAGATTTATTATAGGATCAGACGCATGGAAAAAAAAACAACTCACATATTTGTAAGGCATATTATTGTAATGGGAAAACCTGATTATCTGTATGGGAGTTTTCCCCATTTTTGCTGCAGAATAACTTTCTAATAATTCCGAACGTGTCTTGATATTTCTTATTTTATTAACAAATTTCTTTTTGTGAATTAAAATTTTGAGCAGCAAACTTTTGAAAAGAAGTCTTTTATGGAAATGTTTGCTCAAAAATCTTTTTCTCACATCCGTAAATGCTTTTTATATATTTAAAATAAAATAAAGTGCATCAAGAATATTTTTAATCTATTCAATAGTTTTAATGAGTAAATTGTGTAAAATTTTACGCTGATTTTACATATTCCATTTAAACTAAGCGGATGCATTTATTTGTAGAAATAAACATTAGTGAAGAAGTTCATAATGCTAAAATATAAATCGCTACTAAATAATATTTAAAAAAAAAATATTAGAATAATATTTTATCGGAATGCTTTCTACTAATCTTTGAGGAACTGACTTCATTAAAATCCTTATGTAATTTTGTTTTTCTTTATTCAAAAAAATTATTGGATGTCATCGCTTCAAAAAATAATTCATTGTTATTTCATCGCTCACACGTATATTTCATATGCACGAGTGATTTCAGTCATCTAACCGTCATTCTGTTTTTAAAAAAAAAATAATTTTTTGAAGAAAAATTATGAAAAGCTGCAATTATTAATAGGATTCTAAATTCAGATAACTTCATCTTTGAAACATTTAAATAAAAAAAAATAAAAAAATAAATAAAAAACTGTTTTTACGAAATTTTTGACTTTTTAGTCAAACCACTTTTTACAAGAAAGGAAGCAAAGTTAAACATGCGAGGACGAAAAAAACAAAAAGCATCGCAGTTTTAAAAGATTATGGGTTTAAAGACATACATAAAATTAAGTTAGGTTACAAAAATGTGTTGTAAGAAATGTCTTCGTTTCTTCCAACATTATTTTCTGATGGATACAAAAATTTGTTTTTAAAGAAGTGTTTTTAGACTGAAACAAAAATTTCTTTTAAACATTGTTTTCCAATGAGAGCTAAAATTTCTTTCTAAATACTGTTTTTCAGCTGAAATTCCAGCAGCTATATTTGCCTGTTTTGATTTTTCCACAGCTTAGCAAATTGGCCGGCTGAACTAGATCCTGAACTAGTTGGTAGCAGACTTTCAAAGGCTTTTAGTTTGTGGTCTGAAATATCCCCTCTAAGATTTGTACCCAAAAACAGTATGGATGCGGATCTGATAGTCGCCTTCGGAAGTCGAGCTCACGGCGATGGTTATCCTTTCGATGGTCCTGGAAGTGTATTGGCTCATGCTTTCTTCCCTTATGAGCATGGACCTTTCGGTGGGGACATACACTTCGATGATGAAGAGAATTGGATTGATGGAGCCTCTCTAAATCAAAACACTTATCGTAAGTCATTATAAAACATAGATCTGCTATTTAATTCAGTTTTGCAAAAACCACAATCTTCTTTGTAGCTTCAGGGGAACTTCAGCGATGGTTTTCACAGAATATAGTGCTGAAGTAAAATATTTTCAGAATCTCCTTGTCGTCGGGCTAGCCGTCTGAGGGTTTTTGTGTCGTTGTAACACAAAAATGCAGGTTAGTTCTATCAAAAAGTCCTCCATGAAAGCTAGTGTTTAGTTTATTTTATAGCAGTCGTTGAACAGCCGACCCAATTTTGAGTTTACGGCTACCAATGTTCAAAGCCTTGTAATTTTTGAACCCAATCCAGAACTCTAGGATCCAGTATTGGGGGGAGGGGGAAATTTTGCCTTCGCCGAGGACTTTTTGAGGAAACTGAACCGCATTTGCATTACATGGAGAAGAAAACTACGAAAACTTCCGACGGTTAGTTTGACGGCAAAGGGACTCTAACCCATGATCCGTCTACCACTAAGGATATTTTACGACAACACTGTGGTCGGTGCGAGCCGGTAGCGGAATTCGTATCGACCAGCCATCGCTGGGGTTCGAACCCGGTTCACCTCATTAGGAGGCAAACGCTCTATCCCCTGAGTCACCGCGGCTCATGAGAGCTAGTTTTATTTTATTTTATAACCGTCGTTGAACAACCGACCCAATTTCATGGATTTACGACTACTTACGTTCAACTCCGTAGCCTTGTAATTCTGAACCAATCCGGAAGACAAGGAAACTCCTGGATCAGTACCCCCAGAGGTTTTGATTTGTTGTGGGAACATGGAGGACTTTGAGACTCAACAGATTTAACGTGCATCAGTCACCATTTACTACGCGGGGAGTCTTCAGCCGGCGAGGATCGAACCCGCGACCTCTTGGATATGGGCCCAGCGCCCTACCGACCAGGCTATCCCGGCCCTGAGAGCTAGTTTGTCCTAATGCTTGATCCAGGATTTCCTTTGTCTCGTGGCTAAAATTGCAAAACTACTGAGTTAATAGTCGTAAACTCAAAAATGGGCCGGATGTTCAACGTCAGTTATAAAACAGGTAAAAACTATAACATTTCGATGCCTTTTTTTATAGAATGGATCCACAATACGCTTTCGATAAAGTGTTTCAAAGCTTTTTTTTTCCACTTAAGAAGAGAAGGTAACAATCTATCAACTTCATCAAAGAGCTTTGCCATGCCATTCTCCAAAAAAAAAAAAAGACATTTTACAGAACTGCTGACCATTATGTTTTTGACCGATTTGGGCCACTTACACCTTATCATCGCCATCAATTTAATTCTTAAATGCAGCGGGGGATCCATATGTCTCCTGTTTATCACAAAAGGATAACATAATATTATTATTTTGCATGGAATTAACTTTGGATAAACGTCTTTTGAGTGCAAAAAGTACTCATTTCTGTTGAATAGTTCAAGAGAGAAATAAGTAAAAAGTGAAATTAACAGTAAGCTGCTCACCTGATCCTACATTCCGCGGACACCCCTATATTTGGATGGTTAAGCATTCGACAAAAAAAAAAATATTTTTTTCTGTCTCTTAGCCTAATTGAGAATTATCACTCATTCATAAGGTCAACCCTTTGAGCCAGTAAAATTGACACTTAATATGTAAAAATGAACGCATTATAACAAAAGTGCTTATAGACATTTTATACGTACCATAATTAATAACAAAACAGTAATGTAATACTTATTTTTATAATCCAAAAGATGATGGTGGTGTTGACTTCTTCACTGTGGCTGCTCATGAATTGGGACACAGTCTTGGTCTCGCCCATTCCACTGTTCCTGCATCCATTATGTTCCCTTACTACAAAGGTTACGATTCTAACCTTCGGCTGGACTATGACGACGTATATGCTATGTATTCCATGTATGGTATGACTCAACTCATTTTTATTCAAATATCGAATCACCTTTAAAATATTGAGTGAAACGATGATAATTGAGAGTGTTGAACTAAACTAATTTTTTTTTAAAGGAATAAAAAAAATTTACATGTATATGCATTACCTTTTTTGGGAAATTATTAGTCACTTGGAATTACTCTATTAAAAAGAAACAAATGTTTATGAATGAAGATAAAAATTTTAGTCACTATTTTCATGCGAAAAGAAGTTTTCATTTAGTGTGATGTGCCTCACTGATGTGCTGACTAATATGAGCTAAATGTAATAGTGCTTTATCAACACTAATACATTAAGCTCAGAATAAATAATAGGATTGAGTGGTCACTTGCTTCCCGGCAAAAGCTATTCCTTGTGATTCTGAAGGTCTACCCTTTTTTAAACTTCATGTATCGTTTATTTACACGTCAGGTAAAGTGCACAAATTGTTTTTAATAGCCCTATAAATTATGCTGTATTATTTTCAGAATTATTTGACAAGGCAACTTCGCTGTAATGCCAGACAACGCTTAATAATAACACTAAATGTTTTATTTAATTTAAAATATCGTGTTATTACGGCTTATTGCTAAGGTAAGTAATAGTTTTGAAATGGAGTAAAAAATTATTCAGTGTTTCGTGCTCCACTTTAAGTGGACTGATCGTTAAGACTAGGTTCCCAGCAGATCACCGAAGTCACTGGCTGCGGGCAGTGTGCGGGTGAGTCTGCGTAGGGCAGGGGTTGCCAAACTTTTTTGATCATCGACCCCTACATAATTTTTCGAAATCTCCATCGACCCCCATAAAAGTAATTTTCTGTTAATTAAAATAAAACTCTATTAGATACTGTGTTTGTACATTTATTTTATGATTTTGAACATTTATTAAAGTAATAGTACATAGTGTAACAATAGTTTTATGAAAAATATATTAATGTTGAAATATAAATACCTTAATATTTATGAAATAATAAGTAATTATAAGTAAGTAGAAATAATAAGTAAAGTAACTACGGATTTATTGCTTCTTAATCAATGACATAGGTGTGCCTGGTGTTTTTTTTTTTGCAAGGTTCGTTATATTGGGTTCAAAATTGGTCAATTTTAATCTTAAATCCCCTCGAAACTCCACATTTAATTTATTTCTGTTCTTAGTTAAGATTGAATTTACGTGACTGAAACCGGCTTCAACCATATAGGAACTTGGAAATGCTATCATAAATGGCTGAGCTATTTCGTAAAGTCTTACATATTTTTGCATTATATTTATATTTGTCCAAAATTTGCTTATTGTTAAATTTTTAAAAAGCGTCTTTGCTTCAAATCCCCATAATAATTCAGCAAGCTCATCTTGCAGGTTGATGTCCACGTTTTCAATTTGAGCAGAAAATGGCACAATAATCCAATCAGGGATGTCAATATTTTCCAAATCAACAAAACGCAGTTTAAAATCGTCGCTCAATTTTTGAAGATTACCTGTATATATTCCCAAGTCTTCTTCTTTTATTTCTAATTGTCACATATCTGAAAAATACTGATAATCCTTCAACCAATCGACCCTTCCGATTCGGATCGACCCCCATTCGACCCCCCTACTCAGATCGACCCCCGCTTATGTTAAATAGACCCCTAGGGGTCTATATAGACCACTTTGGTGATCTCTGGCGTAGGGTGTGCGGTATCGATCCTCTTTTAAACTGTTCTACCGTAAAGTGCTCGACTTCGTCGGGCTACCGGAGCCATCCCCTCTGCAGAGGATCAAAATTGTGATGGCATGTTTTCGGTTCATCCTCAGTGATGTTTCCCAGATCGTCGCCAATAGCCCATTGTGCAGCTCGACCGTAAATGAACTACAACAAATCCACTTTAATTTAAAATATAACGCGAGAGTCAAAACTGACCTGGTTGATAAGATTTCGCCACATTGTTAGGAAAATTATTTATATCTTCCTCTTAATATACTTTCATTAAATGTTTTTCATTCTTAGTATTGAATCCTGATTTCGAGGATGAAAGTTATGAAGCCTATTCCGATGATTCCAGAATACACCCTACAGATGATAGTCGCAGCGATTCTCAAACAGCGACTACAGAAAAATTATATTTTCCTAGCACTGAAACGAGTGTAGATTACACAGACTACGATTGGTCTTCACAAAGTGATACTGATGATGATTTTACATCAACATCAGGTAAGTCTCAAACTAAGAAATGCGAATGAAAAAACAAAAATTTCTTTAAATCATGTGAATGCATGATGTACGATGTAAATTTCACCGTTGATAATGTTTCTTTCAAAACATAATTTGCCAAAAATATTTGATTCCATAATTTACCAACAAAATATTTACTGCCAAAATTTTGAATATTTACTATCGAAAATATTTACTTGTTAATTTTGCGACACGAATGCCTGATATTGAAAAATGTTTGAATACATTAAATATACAGTGTTTCGTTATCTAACCGCCCTCAAAATATACTGTTAAGACCCTCGTGAATAAGATGTTAAAATTATAGGCACATTAGGGGTCGAAAAATGCTATGAAGCGAAGAAAGAATATAAATAGTAAGAATAGTCGACCCATCACTATTGAGGAAGCCGGGCTTCAAATCTTCAACACCAGATTGATTTCCAGATAAAATTTGATAGCGGTTGCGATAATTGCTTTTCTCCTTTTCGTAATTTCTTCAGACAAGCAAGCAAGTTTAAATATTTTTAATCGTGCCTTTCTCAATATCGATAACTTTTAATAATATTTTTTCTTTACGACTCAATTCAGCATTAAATTGTGACCCCCTAATTGTGTGACATAGTTAATTTTATATTATGTATATAATTCAAATGTGTAAACATTTAAATATATAATTAGAGTGAGCGATTACACAACACCTATAAATAATGTCAAATTTAACTCGTCTAAAATAGGCTCCGTTTATGTTTTCCGACACGTAAAGATTTGGTTTTATATCTTTTTGTTGCACATTCAAATATATTATTATTATTTTTTTTTAGTATTGAAATTCTCGCACCATTTATTTTAATAGGCAGTTTCTTCTTTTAAAATATCGGGCAAAGTTAAATACTTAACTATTTTCGATTTTGTTAAAATTATTAGGATATGTTCTTTAAGTAAAACAATATGGTACGCGTATCTTTCTTTTTTTTTTGAGAATTTTTTTATTTATTTAAAGTTTTGGGGGTGGTCCATCGGAATTTTTAGAAAGACACATATGTACAGTCTGCAAAAAAAAAAAAAAAAAAAAAAAAAAAAAAAAAAAANAAAAAAAAAAAAACGAATCACCCAGAGCAACTTTCGTTCTAATGATCGGATTTTCACGAACTGGTTCCTAGGGGTGACTTAAAATATGCTAATTAATTAGCGATAACTATTAATTAAGTTATGAAATCAGACGCAAAAATGTAAGACAAAATTTCGAAAAAATTGGGTCGTAAATTGGGCCGCAATAATGATTTATATATATGACGAAAGTTTAAAAAAAATGCCAAATTACCTCGCCATAGAAAGTGAAACAATTTAAAACAACCACAAAGAAACTGAATGAATGACGAGACGTCATAACATCGCGTGTCTCTGTTGCTATAGGCAATCAAGAAGAGAATTTTTGGATTTGATTTCTGGGCATAGAAAATAGTATTCGTTTTAATACTTTGAAAATAAAATGTGAATTTAAAATGAAGAAATGAAAATTAAATTATTTTTGATTTTCCAATATTTCAAATTTGAACGTTGAAATTCTTATCTGACATTTTTTATTTTTTTAAAGATGTTATTTGCATGAAAATGCTGTTCTAAAACCAAATTTACTTAAGTTATTATAAATTTATGATAAGTTGCTTTTACAACTCAGTTCAAGTCTTTCAGGTAAGGAAAAGAAAAAAGAGATTACTGCGAAAAATTTGGGGCACTGCGCAATCAGAAAGTTTTATAAAATTCACGGTATCTCTTTTCGATAAAATTGAAATATATATATATATATATATATATATATATATATATACACACACGAGTTTACTCGAGATNCCCCCTTTTTTTTTCATTGTTCTGTAATTTTTGTTTCTGTAATTTGTTATGTAATTTCTTCCATGTTTTCTCTACATTTTGAACTTATCTATCTATATATATATATATATATATATACATATATATATATTTATATTATAGTATAGGAGTAAATTTTACTTGTATTTTTATTTTATTGCTAAAGGTCAAATCAAAAAAAAAAAAAAAAAAAGAAAAGAAAAGAGTTTCAAATCTTTGAAAAAATTGAAATTCGTCAGAAATTGGAATCAATTTTACTTAAGAGTTTATCGCTGTATTTTTCAGTTGTAGATTATTTAGAGATTTGCTAATTTTAATTAGAATTTTACTAGTTTTAATTGTTGAATTAGAGAAAATAATGAGACCCCTTAATTATATTTCCAGCATTTATGCAAACATATCCCTTCATTGATATTTTCTGAAATTATTAGAAAGATGGTCGCAGAAATTATAGATGAAAAAATAGCTTAGCAACAATATTTAAAAATTAATGCTGTTGGTAGGAACTATTTAACCCACCGCTTTATACAAGGTAAAAATGTTTAATAAAAGAAATTATCTAAAATTTAATGCATATGTGGTAGATTACTCTTTTAAGTTTTACTGAGTTAAATTAATAATTTAACTTTTTGATGAATAAGTCAGTAATATTTTTTGGTTAAATTATCTGCGACTTAATTAATAGAAAACAGTAAATAGAATCAAAATGTTTGAATTCCTTCCTATAGGATTTAGGTGGATATCTTTTAAGCATTTCGAACATTGCAAATATTGTAAAGCATAACTTAGCTGAATGCCATAAAACTTCTCATTTTTAAATGTAAAAATTATATAAAACAAGTAAATATTTTGTAAATTTATATTTTGATTATTTAATATAAATAGTTTATTTAGTGTAGTGTAGCAAACTTTTATGTATTCCTTCCTATCAGTTCTTTTATTTTTGTTACTTTGTAACAGTCTCTTTTTACAAAAACTAATCCATTTTATCATCGAATTTTAAATTGAGGGGGGGGGGGGGTATTTAGAGGATAAACTAACTCAGAAATTGTGCTAAATTATTTTTTTATGATTCGCCGAAATATTGTTAGAGATTCACTCTTTGTAAAAATGAATTCAAATTTTTAAAAATGTTAATTTCTTGAACTATGTTGATGTATGTTAATCGTAAAAAATATAAAAAATGCCAATATTTTGACTCAAACAAAAACATATTAAAGCGGATCATAGAGTTTAAATATCAAGGTTAGAGAATTCAAAAAAAAAAGTTAAAAGATAAAAATTCATACTGATTTAATTTTTGGCTTCGTTTTTGCTTCATCAAGGGAAATCTAATGGCCATTCACACTTATGAAAATTTTATAAATAACCATTTAAAAAATACACATGCCTTATAACATTTGTAAAATAACAAGTATTTTTCCGAATTAGAATTTTTAAAGAAGTTAGCTGCCTTCTAATATAAGAATTCACTCTTGAAGCTACTGATCATGCATGAAATATCCTACCCTACACCTGAGCTCAAGAATTTGCACTTCATATGATTTGCGAATGATACTAAGTAAACTTGATTTCTAGTAAAACAAACGGATATTATTTACATACTCATTTCGCTAGTTTATTTAAAAAATAATTTAAAAAATTGAAAGAAAGGAAAATTTAGGCTTATAATACCCCAAATTAAACAAGAGTAGCACTTGTTACAGTTTTAAACTCTGACATTCTTTTCACGAGATCTCTTCTTTTGCCGACGATTTTGTCCGTTTTTATGATTAATTAAAGCCAGCTTACGCATTCTTGTAATTTTTGAATCTTATATTTGAAATTTTAAAGTCGAATGACATGCTGAAATGACCCCTAGTTCAAAGAGTCAAAGTTAAATAGTTGCATGACCGATTGTTTCGAAAAGAATTAACTACTTCGGTGCAATGAAACAATTATCAATGAATATGCTTGTTTCCTTATTACGAAATATTATATTCAAATTTGTATTCATTATTTCTTCAAAACGTGTATTAAAACTATTATTACAGGTTGAACAAAACTATTATCAAGTAGAAAAAATCCTAATGTTAAAAAAAGAATAATTTTTGAGATGATGATTCTAAAATTAGCACGTTTTTCGAATCTTTTTGCAATTTTTTATTTTAGTAGTTGTTTTAATAATACAAGGCATATCGAACATTTTCCTGTTGTAGCAATATTTTTTTGAACTGTGCAAAAGTTGCGAAATACAATATGAACAACTTTTTAAGCAGATACTTTCAACTTTTTAAAAGAAAAGGGTAACTTTCTTTAAGTTAGCGCACAAGAATAACTTTGAATGTCGAAATAAAATTGTATGTCCATAGTTTTTTGTTCATTTAAAAAACAAAACAATCTGTTGTAGTTTTTCGCTGTGCACACATACTCATTTACTTTTCATTACTCGAATAAATAAGAAACAATAAAAAAAAAAAGAAAATTAATAATTTATCTTCATTTTTCGTAAACAATAGTATTCTTAGTAAATAGTCAGCTGTTCTGCATCGAATGATATTGTGTGTGATCAGTAGAATATTTTTAATTTCTTAACAAGACTTAATTCTCAGATAGCTGGCAATAAATCTGAGTTTTCTTTCAATAAGAACTTAGCAATAATTTAAAAAGTAATTTTATTTTAAAGGAAAACATGAATTAAAGTACTAAAATGATTGATTAGTATATTATTGGAAAATAATATATATGGTAGAACAAAAAATAAGTTTTTGCGCTAAAATTTAATTAAAAAGTTAGAAAAATAATTCTGCGAAGCAAGGGCAGACAGATAATTTACAAATTTATTTTAAGATTAAAGCGATATATAAGATGTAAAAAAGTTTTAAGATCATTAAAAATGCTGACTTCGTATTTTTATTAATATTTATAAAATATGTGTTCAGGAAATTGATAAATATATTATTCCAAATCTAGCATACGTATGTATATTATTGAAATTGTATCAGTTATTGAAAAACAAAATAAAAATATAAAAAATAATCACATTAAATAAGCACAATCTGGTGTATAATCATATTCTATCAGAAGCACACTTTTATAAAACCAGATATTCGTTGAATAAAGTGTTTTTTACTCAAATTTCTTTATTAAATTGCAAATAAATTAATAAACGACTAAAAAAGAAACATCTTATTTTATAGTTTGAAAAAAATAAAAATAAAAAGACAAGCAAAAGATTATTAGCGAAAAAAATATGAATGAAATTTTACGCGAAGTCAAGTTCCTCGCAAGTTTATCACATTTTAATATTAATCGCCCCATTTAATCATTTTTTTATTGTCGCCAAATTATTTTTTTAAAAATAATTAATTTTAATTTTTTTCAGCTTCTAATAAATAAAAACAGTTGAAACTTTAGATTTTTGTATTGAAAAATATGTAGATTATTATGGTATAAAAAAATTCATACCTTATAATTCAAAATTTTTTCATCCTCAATTTAATTAAATAATAAAAAATAATTAATAATTATTAAAAATTATTTTTTTCATGAAATTATCTTTGGGTAAATGAGTTTTATGAGTGGGTGCAATTTTTTTTGAATTGCTTCATTAGTTTTGAAAATATGACTGAAAACGCAAAAAGCGAAATTAACATTAAGGGGTACGAACTTTGAATCGCTCTCCTGACCAAACTATGGGGACCACATTTCCCAGATTGCGGCTACCCCCTATATTTTGAAGATAAGAAATCCAAATATGTAAAAAAAAATGCATGTTTATTCAGAGAAAGTACGTTTTTGTGTCTGATTTCGTAACTTAATTAATAGTTAGCACTAATTAATTAGCATATTTGAGGTCACCCCCAGGAACCATTAAGATTGACACTTAGTTCGTGAAAATCCGATCATTAGAACGAAAGTTATTCAGGGTGATTCGTTTTTTTTTTTTTGTGGACTGTACATGGGGTAATATTTTTTGTGAAATGACTGAACCACGCACTGACCATAATTTTATTTTCAACTACATTCACACTAACTATTAAAATATAAATACTTTCAATGGAGCCTTGCCCTCGATAGTCAAATGTCATTTAAAATAAGTCTATTTTCTTAGAATTTGATCACCAAGATATAATTGTGCCAACAGTAAACCACAAAAGTATATTTTTCAGTGAATACTTACTAGTGACTATAATCAACATATGTGTGGTGTAGTATTTATTCCAATGTATTTTTATGTTCAGTTCAAAAAGTTTTAAGTAGGTAAATGCAAAAAGTACGTAACGGTATTTTTCATAGACAAATCTTTTATTACTTTTAAACTGTTTGTGAATTGAAGTGTTGCTATAGATTGTTAATAAAAATCGCAAAAATGATTTAAAAAACAAACAAGCACTGCCCAGTCGTTACACACAAAGAACATTTACTGGAAAATTTTAACAAAGTCAAGAAAGTTCAGTATCCGACCTATAAATAAATATTTGTTCTTAAAGATTCAATTTATTTTCATTTGATAGGGAGAACAACGGATCACATCCCAATGAATCCTACTTCAGTTCCCAGAAAAGAAGACATCTGTAACGGTTCATTGGACGCTGCTTCACTCATAAGAGGAGAGCTATTTGTTTTTAAAAATAATGCAAGTTTCATTTTAAATATACTTTTTTATTAATACACAGATTTCTGAGAAAAACATAGAAAAATGATTATAAATTTTTTTTCTTTCTTTTTTTTGTGGATACGTGTAAAAATACACTACCCTACAATAATGGAACGAAAGAGACACTAGTTGAATTTTTTTTTAATTTTCTCTAGAAATACCTAGAGTATTATTTTAAGACTTTAGAGAAGTTTAGATTAGACGGTTTCTCGTACTTATCAATAAATTTTAAAGTTTTCAGAGGATTGAGAGCTCGGCGATAAATGACAAACGAAAACATGAATTTTTTAGCATTCTATGATAGAACATGAAGCTTGTAACTTGTGTCGATTACTTTGGTTGTTATTTGCAATAATTGTATATAAATTTGATAACTTAGCTTAAATATTTATGGAGATGTGGACATTTTTATAAAAAAGAAAAATAACAAATATTTTTTTGTCTTACATATTTTTGTTATAAATTTAAAAATATTGAATAAAATGAAACAAAATTTTTGGAGCAATTTATAACAAAATTATTATCTTAAACTTTGGAAAAAAAATTATTTAAAAATTTCGCAAGATATGAGCATTTAAAGTAGCTCTTTTAAACTGCGCATGCTCTGAAATTTTTTATTTTATTTTTTATATACAGAGCCTGACAAAGGTGGGGTCATACGGGGCAGTTGCCCCGAGCCCCACATCATAGGGGGCCCCCAAATCGAATTGAAAGTTTATTTTACGTTTCCTTCATTAATGACCTTTTTTTTTTCACGAAATATCAGTACAGTGTAAAATCCGCCAGTTTTATGTTAGCTTCTTCATTAATCTATCGTATGTGTTATAAATCGAGCATGCTATCAGCGAGCCTCACGCTATATTTGTTTATCTTGTAGAGTTGCACTTTCGTAATCTGGCAACTTCTATTTCTTATATATATTTTGAGTTTATTTTTTTCTAATCGTTCTTTTCCTTTTTTATTTCTAAGTTCATATTAAATACTATTTAAAATATCTGTCACCTTTATTTTGCTAATATTTAGAACAGTATGAACACAAAAAAATCTATCTTTCGTAAATCCATGGCTTTCTAGTGCGGAATTCAGCTAAATTTTCGCAATTACGATGGAAAAATTTGGCCAATCAAAAGCCTGTATTTCTACATATAGCAAAATGCGATATGTTTACAAAAATACGGGCTTCTGATTGACTTAAATGCACCATCGTCATCGCGAAAATTTAGCTGAAATGAATTTTTCGCTGCTAGATGACAAAGTTAAGAATCAGAAGGCTGCATTCGGCATGATGGGCATAGAATTGTCAGAAAATCAATAAAATGGACAGAACAATGTTTCGTCCTATCATTGGAGGAGGGGGGGGGGAGGAGTTTATNCAGAACAATGTTTCGTCTTATCATTGGAGGAGGGGGGGGGGGTTTATAGCTATTTTAGGTTCTAGTCAATTTTCTTGTTATCTGTGTGTAATGAGGTGAAAAATTTAAATACCTCCATGAAGTTCAATTCTTCATTACTGAGGTGGTAGAGGGGGGGGGGCAAAGAAATTTTTTCCCAGTCTGGATATAATTGAGATCTCGGTGTTTGCGCCACTAACCGATTCATCCTGTTCTGATAGTCATGAGCTAAAAAGACATGAAACAAGGCATAATTTAAATAAAGAGAAGGGTAGGAAAAAACTCCATTGTCAAGGTTCATGATTTAGAGCACAATAAACTGTGAAAAAATTAAATACAAATGTGAATTAATCAACAGTTAGAATATAAGCATGAGCAGAAAATAAAATTTATATGTGCAGTTATTTACATAAGAGATACGATGAGGTGTCGAAGTGTTTCTCTGTTAGCACAGCGATCCGGTCTCCCCGGTGATCACCGCTCGTACCGGGTTGGTCGCTGTGAGAATGTGGCTCGCCCGGATCGGAACCTTTCGTCGGGTTACTCCTTCACCTTGTTCGCCACATTCTGGTGTTGAGATCTCTGTGTGTGTTTATAATATTTGGATATGATGCAGTCGGAGCTCAGAAAGGCGGTGACTGGTTATAATTTATGTTATCATTAATGATGTCGAGATTAAGAAGTAGGTCTGAGATGGTGGCATCACTATAGAACTTAGTGTTTAATTTAGCTATGAATTCATTTTCGATTTTAAGATCTTTTTTCAGTGAGTCGTTGCTAATGGCCCCTAGCATCATCCCAAGAATTTTTCCCTCCGTATCGGAGAGTCTTTTCTTTTGGTTGTTAAGGCCGGACAGGCATATGTAAGTATCGGTCTAATTGTTTGTAAGTAAATGAGTCTTTTATTTGCTAGGATGAGTGGGGAGTTTTTGCCGACAATTGGACTGAGGCCGAAGAAGGCTCCTTTCGCTTTTTTTAATTATCTCATTGATGTGTGAACACCAGCTGAGGTTTTCGAGATATTGCAACCCCCAAGGTATAACACTCGTGACGGGTTTTTGATAGTTGAATTAAATAGGAATATTGTATGGTTGATCGGTTTTTTGTTATTAAAAATAATTAATTTTTGCTTTTGTCTGGATGAAGTTGTATCTTCCACCTCGCGCACCAGTCCTCTACTAAATTTAGTTTGTTTTGAAGGAGGGCTACTGCTCTTTTGGAACTCATTAATTTAGTAACTATAGCGGTATCGTCCTCATATAGGGCCACCATTTCATTTAGATTACTATTATCTATAGGGAAATCTGAAGTGTATAGAATGTAAAGAATAGATCCTAAAATAGACCCTTGTGGGACACCCGCTTTTACAGTTTTGTAATCTGAGTAAGCATTATTTAATTTGATTCTAAAATTCCTATTACTAAGGTATGATATAAGTAGGTGTAGGATATCAATGGGGAAATTCATGCTATAAAGTTTGACTATTAAGCCCCTATACCATACTCGATAGAACGCTTTCGCGACGTCGAGCAGGATAAGGGCCATAGTTTCATTTTTAAATTTACCATTACTGATAAATTCAAGTATATTTATAAGCTGTTTAGTGGTCGATAAATTGGGCCTGAAGCCATATTGCTGTTTAGTTTTTTTATCAAGTCTTTTTTTCATAGATATTTTAGATAAAATTTTGGAAGTAAACTTATTGGCTGATAGTTTTTCTGGTCGGAAGCATATTTAGGTTTAGGAAATAAAATTACGTCAGAATTTTTCCAGATCTCCGGAAATGCATTGAAAATTTTCTTAAGGAGGGGTATGATGCTGGGAGGAGCATTTTTTAGCGTTTGAGGTTGAATCATGGCCTTTCGGTTTTATAATTTCTTAATAATATTGATGATTTCCTCGTCACTGGTATTATCCATAGAATTATTGCTTGAGGTTATTATATCATTATAGGTTGAGCTAACATGCTTATCATTGAGAGGGTATGAGATACTATTTAGTGAGAATTGTTCTTGCATGACATCAGAGAAGACCTTAGCTTTATCATTATTGGTATATGCAGTTTGATTATTATTCTTTAATGGTAGGTTAACCGGTATAGGCCTTCTCAAAAGTCCTGGCCATGTTTCAGAGCGAGTTATCTTCTTTCATAAGGCTGGCCTGGCCACTTTATCATTCCCTAACTCGTTTCGAAAATTTTTGCACAGCATTTTAATTTCCTAAATTAGATTGTTGTATTCTGTCTTATACATTGGACTGAGAGTGCGTTTATTGTGTTTAAGTAACTTGTTTTTGTATCTAATTTTTTCTTTAATGCTTCTAGGTAATTTCAAATTATTTAAGTTAAGCACTCTTTCTGGGGTGGCCTGATTTACGGCCTAGGTTAGCTTGTCGTTAAGAGATATGATGGCATTAGTGATTTCAGAAATGGTATTAATACTTCTTGGTTAAGGAAGAGATTTAGAGTGTGGTATAATAGTCAGTCTACTTTTTTTCGGGTGAGTTTATTGTCATTAATAGTGATGTAGGTCGTAACTAGAACTGGTAGAAGATCACTACTTAGATCGTTTATGACCTGTAGAACAAATGGAGAATTCATGTTAGTGACCATTAAATCTAACATATCTGGATTATAGCCATGGTGCACATGGTAGTATGTGTGGTCGACAGGGGCATAAATGGTCTGATCTAGGTTTAGTAATGTCGTGCAGATTTCTTCCTTGTTTATTTGTGCAGCGTTGCATCCCCAAACTTTATTTTTAGCATTTAGGTCCCGAAGAACAATCGTATCCATGTTTGAGTCGAAATATGCTCTAAAATGTTTTTCTTTGAGCTCGTTGTTGGGGGGATTATAAATAGAACTAATTTTTATATAAACTTATGTTTGTGAAAATTGCAACACCATGAAGGACTTACGCGAGTGAGCTGAAATTTTCAGGAAATGCAAAGTGGAGCATAATATGCAAATGATTAGAATTTATGACCCGTAGCGCATGCGTATGCTGAGCAGCTCCCTCTGAACGGCGGATGGATCCGAATAAATAGACGGCTGTAGCGAGGCGTGTATGGTTATCGGTGGTTATCTGCTAGTGGTAAACGTTAGCTCAGACGTTACTTATGCCTCTTCGACGAAAGAGAGCGAGATTTCAACAACTTACGGAGTTTGAAAGGGGGAGAATCATCGGCCTTCGTGAAGCTGGATTGTCTCATCGTGCAGTAGCCGCTCGTGTGCAGCGTAACAGCAGCACAGTGATGCGTGTTTGGAAGCAGTGGACGGACGAGTGTCAGACAACTCGGAAATCCGGGAGTGGACCCCGAAATGTCACGTCAGCTCGCGATGATAGACACCTGGTCCGCATGGCGCTGACAGACCGTACGACTCCCTCTAGACAACTGGCAGCACAGTGGTCCATAGCTACAGGTGTTTCATTGTGTGCTTCATCAATTCGTAGACGTCAACTGCAGCGTGGACTGCGCGCAAGGACTCCTTTATGCAGGATCACCCTCACAGTAAACCATAGCCGCCTGCGGCTACAATGGGCCAATCAGCATAAGGACTGGCATGCTGATTGGCAGCATATCGTGTTTTCTGACGAATCCCGCTTTAATTTGTGGTACCATAATGGCCGCATTCGTGTCAGTCGCTATGCCTGTGAACGCCACCTTCCGGAGTGCATTATCGAACGCCTCAGTGGACAAATACCAGGAGTTATGGTCTGGGGTGCCATAGCATATCATGGACGATCTCAATTGCTGCGAATTGTGGGTAATCTGAACAACAACCGATACATCAGTGAAGTTTTACAGCCCCAAGCTGTTTCATTCCTTCAAGCCTTGCCAGGCGCTGTATTTCAACAAGACAATGCCCGCCCTCATATTGCTAGGACTGTTCAATCCTTCCTTGCATTGCGGCAGGTACAGCTTTTTCCTTGGCCTGCGTATTCCCCAGACATGTCACCAATTGAACATGTGTGCCATTTCGTTGGTCGGTGCCTCGCTCGTGATCCTCGTCCTGTTGCTTCTACAGACTTTGGGTACGCATACAAACTATATGAAATGTTCTTCCTCAGAGAGACATTCAAAATTTACTTGACTCTATACCACGTCGTGTAGCAGCGCTTATTGCGGTGCGTGGTGGCTACACAAAATACTGATTTCGATCTCTGGTTATTGTTTGTTTGCCTTGAAAGTTTAATCATTTATTTGTACCACTACCACTCAACCGTGTAGTAAATTTCATTCAATTATGACGATTCCTTCATGGTGTTGCAATTTTCACAAACAGGAGTTTACTTATTATTGACCTGCAATATGTTTGAGGTTTCGTCAATATTATCAGTGGTAGGTTATAGACAGAAGAGTTGAATAGTTTAGATACATAAATTGCCTCTGTGAGTGGTTCTGTCACATCTGTATGAATTGAACGAGGGTATATTCAATCTCTGTGAAGGCTTGGCATGGGTCTCGGTCATAGATAAGATATCCGGCGAGTAGTTCGAGATAAAGTCAGTGAGTTCTGCCATTTTTGTGATAATGTTATTAGCATTCCACGGATTGATTTTAAGTGCTATATATCAATCATCCCTGTCCATCTTGATTAGCTAAAGTTTCATAATTTTCCTTGTCAACTTGAGGGCTCTTCTTTAATTGCACGGTAACCTCGTTTATTAGGTGTTGTAAGTTTAAGTATACATCTATTGCTTATTTAGTAGTCTGCGAAGCATTGAGTCTGGATTATTAGAATCCATCTTTGGGAAATTCGCTGGGAGTAATAGTTGCTTTTCTTTTGAAATCAAATGATTTAGTTCTGTTTGGATTGTTTTTCATTTTTTCAACAATAGCTTTATATTTTTCGCATCCTGAAAATTTCACTGGATGATCTCCATTACAATTGCATCATTTCGCAGTGGTATGTTTGTTATCGCAGTCTTTAGTCAAGGGTGCGCCAGCGCACTTAACACGCCTTAGCAGTTACTTTGCCGTTGGAAATAATTCTGGCAGCGATGACACTGCGTTGGTCTATCGTTTTTCTTATATTCCTCGATTCCCAATTAGGCTAAGTCGGGCCCTGTTTATATATAGTTCGTTCTCCAGGAGTTGGCACTCACTTGGCTCCGCCTTCATCACGTGATATCCGGCGATACTATTTTGCTATTTTTGGGAGAAGGATGTGAACAATCCCGAACAAGGTTGCTATTTGGCGACCGTATGGCAAAAATATTTATTTCGCAATCTTTATGTGCAATTTTTAATATTAAATATTTCATAAATTTGATATTTCTCTCTTTTAAGAGAATAGTTTGTCCTTTTTGAGACATTTTGCTGCAATATATTTAATTAGCTAGAGTAACGGAAGGTATAATAGCAGATGATAAAGCGAAGTAAATGGCTGAAAAAGAATTCACTGTTTGCGGTTGTCGCGCATTAAGGGTTGTCTCAATATAAGGTGCGGAGACGTTCCTCCTCTTACTCCCGCTCTGAAATGAACTCTTTGTCCGAGGAGGTGGAGCCAAGTACCAACTACTGGTGAACAAACTATACAATTTTTTTAGTGAATCGTATTTAGTAACTAATGAAAAAAAATTATATCTTGAAAATTTAAAGAGTTTCTAGTTATTTTTTCTTAGTAGTCTTTGTAATTTTTCAAGGAAAGTTCTGAATGACAAGAAGTTTTTTGTAAATTTTATTTTGTACTGTACAAGATTTATTAAAAATGTGGAGGGTTGTGGAGAATTATTCCATATAAATGTGTGCTTTTTTTCGCAAGTTTTCGTACCTATCATCACATTTTGGTGTACGACTGGTTGATGGAAGGTATTATCATTTACTATTTAATTTTGTTTTATGATACAAAATAAAATGTGTGGAAAAGCTGTGGGGAAGCTTTAGAGCTTTCTTTTAAAAAGTACAAAAACTACTTAGAAAATGACTAGAAACTCTTTAAATTTTCAAGATATTCAAATCGGACTTTTTTCATTAGTTACTAAATGCAATTCATAACAAATTTCTGATAAGAATTCTTTTTTTGAATTTTATCCGTGCATGCGTAGTATGAAATAATTAGTTTAAATGCTCCTATCTCGCGAAATTTCAAGTTTTAAAATAATAATTTTGTAATTAATATAAAATTGTTCCGAAAATTTGTTTGATATTATTGAATACTTTTAAAGTTATAGCAAAAAAATAAATAAATTGTAAAATAAAAAGATTAGCTTTCAATAAATATTTAAGCTAGGTTTACGAAATTTAATGCAATGATTGCAAATAAAAACCAAAGTAATCAATACAAGTTACAAGCTTATTGCTATATTTTCTGACATAGGGTGTTTGAAAATACTTGTTTCGTCTGTAATTTATGACCGGTGTCTCAAACCTTTGAAAACTTTATTAATACGTGTGAAAAATTTCTCTACTGAAACACCTCTTAAAATACAAAATCATTTCTTAAAAAAGTTTTTTAAAAAAAAACCCCGTTTAAAACTGAAATTGTCGCTTTCAGTATTTTTTGTAAATTTTTAATATCGTCTGAAATGGAGTGTCTGATTAACGTAAAAACATTTTTCCTACTCATAGACACTTCTTCAATCCATTTGTCTAAACATTTAACTTCACTTATTAAATAGTTCCCATAGCATTTAGAATATTTAATTGATAAAACTCCTTAAAATAAGCATTTCATTTTATAAACACAATGGGGGAAAAAAATGACCAGCAATGGATAGTAATATACAGGATGTTGAAGGGTCAAAAAGTGATCAATGTCTGCAAAAATTGTTATTAGGAAACACCATTGGATGTTTACGGGAGCTTATTTCATCCGATTCATTTGCGAAATCATTGTATTTTTTCTCATTTATATGAATTACATCTTTACTTTTAAATAATGTTCCCACATGCTACTAAATCAAAGATCACAATTTTTTCTTTCAATATCAAATAAAATTTCATAACCGATAAATAAAAATGGATTCTTTTTCAGTATATGTGGCGTTTTCGAGATCGAGATGAGATGTTACCAGGTTACCCAGTCGACTTCCACTTATTTTTCAGAAGTTTACCGGTGTCCATTCGTTCTATAGATGCAATCTATCAACGACCCACAGATTACAACATCATTTTCTTCACGGGTAATTGATTTCGTTATTCATCACACTAACGATTTTAAATATCTTTTTTTTTTCTTTCAGTTCTGGTCCAGGAAAGCTTCTCGCATTATTTATTTTAAGTTTATGAAAAACCTATATCAGTTCATTCTGTAAACGTTCACAAAGCCTGAATGAAATCCGATGACTATTTTTCATTATAGTGTTTGAAAAATCATTGACTTTACAAGTGTGAAAAAGAATGACAGTGGGAATGAAAGATAGACTCTGGGGTACAATTCAGCTTTTATGTTAAATAATACGGAGATTCCCCTCCACTTTCTGATTTTAAAACCGTCCACAATGTTGTAACGAAATGGAGTGAAGTGTGTTGCTAGTTTAATTCCGGCAATGACTGCTTGACTCTTTTTTTCGACATACATTTTTTCAGTTAATATTGATTTTGCGGTAAAAAAAATACTGGTATCCTGAGTGTCAATACTTTCTAACGTAAGTTTTCACGAATTTTTATTGACAGGGTATGCTCTTGACTTTTTTTTTCTGTTTCAGATCTTTGCAGTAAATATTGAATTTGCGGTGAGTAACACTGGCGCTCTGCGTGCCGGTACTTTTTTACCAAAAATGCTAAGGATTTTTTTTTCAAAGAGTAATGTTAGTTTATAGAAGGAGCTGTAATGTATACTACAGTTGTCAGGATACATATCACCACTTTGGTGCTGGTTTCATTGTTAGCAAGAGACATAGGATAATTGAATTCATGCCTGTAAGCGAGAGAATCTGCAAATTACGTCTGAAAGGCAAGAACCAGAACCTCAGAATTATGAACATACATGCACCAACAGAGGACAGAGATGATCAGGAAAAGAATAATTTTTATCATCTATTGGAGCTAACTTTTGATGCATGCCTTCAGAATGATATAAAATCAGTGGTTGGTGACTACAATGCAAAAATTGGCAGAGCTTGTATAAGAACCCTTTGTTGGAGGTCAAAGTCTACATGAAGAGTGTAATGATAACGAAAACAGATTGACTAATTTTGCCTCAGCAGGTAAGCTGGGAATTGGAGGTACTGTGTTCCAACATAAAAACATCCACAACGCCACATGGAAATCCCTAGATGGAAATTCCCATAACCAGATTGATCATGTGCTTATTAACTTAAGACATATGAGTAGTCTCCTTGATGTACGCAGTTATAGAGGAGAAAACGTTGACTCGAATCACTTTCTGGTTATAGCTAAAATGAGGTATAAACTAAGCAAAGTATATTATAAGAAGAGAAATGGAAAACTGAAAAAGTTTGATGTTGAGGAACTGAAGAAACCCAATGCTCAAGAAAAGTATTTGTCTAACGTAAGTGATAAACTTCAATTCCATGAAGAAGCTTGAAAGGAGGATAATGACTGGGAAAGCCTAAAACAAATCATAACCCATACATCTGAAGAAGTACTTCCAGAGGAGGAGAAGAATAAACGGAAGGATAGGTATGATCTGGAATGCATGGAAGCCATTGAGAGGAAAAACAAAGCTTATAAAGCTATGATACAAGGACATAGTATTAGAAATACAGAGGAAAAGTATTAAGAGCTGAGAAGACAGGAAAAGAGAGCACATTTAAAGAAAAAGAAAGATTTCTTTGAAGAACAGTTTAAAGAGATTGAATCACTTAAGACACAGAAAGAGGCAAGAAAATACTACCAATTAATTAATATTATCAGAAAAGAGTTTAACCCTAGAGTAATTACTTGCAGAAAAAAGAATGTAGAATTTGCAGGAGAAAAGACAGAAATGCTTGAGAGAACGGGAAGAACATTTTAAGGACCTCTTAGTTGAGGGTGAGTCACCAAACCTGGCTGATGGTATATCTTATGAGACTACCAGTAGTCAAGAAGAGGAGCCTGATTTGTCTACTGTAGGTAAGATTGAACAGGCAATTAAGAAGATGAACAACAACGGATCTGCTGGACCAGACGGAATAAAAACTGAGCTTTTGAAAATTAAGGAACCAGCATTGATTAGGGCAATTCAATATATTATATGCAGGATAGGGAATTGGAACAAATGCCCATTGAATGGGATGATGGTTCTATCTGTCCAATCTACAAAAAGAGAGACAAGATGGATTGTAAAAATAACAGGGGGATCACCTTATTGAATACAGCATATAAGGTTTTCTCCAATGTACTATATAAAAGACTTTTACCACACATGGAGAAGGTGGTCGGAAGTTACCAGTGTGGTTTTCAAAGCGGAAAATCTACAATTGATCAAATACAAGTTTTAAGACAAACTACTGAGGAAAAAAAAAGAATTTAATCTTGAGACTTTCCATCTTTTTATTGACTTTAAGGCAGCATACTCTCTTGATACTGTCGTATCAAGAGAAATAAGTTGTATGAAGCAATGGAGGAATTTGGTATTCCCCTGAAGCTTATTAACTTGACAATGGCAACACTCAGAAAAGTCAAGAGCAGAGTTAAGTTTCAAAACGAACTCTCTGAGCCCTTCTACACTGATAGAGGCCAGAGGCAGGGAGATGCACTTGCCTGCCTTCTATTTAATATCACACTTGAAAAAGTAATCAGAGCATCTGAAATCAATGTAAGAGGCACTACTTTTCAAAGATCTACACAAATTCTTGCTTATGCAGATGATCTTGATTTTATAGGAAGACCTAGACAATCAGTATTGGCGAACTTCAAAGTTCTTGAAGTAGCAGCTAGTGAAATGGGACTAACCATTAATTCTGACAAAACTAAATATATGGAGATAAACAGAGGGCTCACTTAGCATGTGAATGATTATGAATTTGAAGCTGTTTATGAATTTAAATATCTTGGGACTACTGTAACCTGCAAAATTGACATAAATACTGAAATCGATAGCCGTTTAGAAATGACAAACAAGTGCTACTTTGGTTTAAAAAGTCAACTAAAAGGTAAATTTCTTAAACAAAAGACAAAAAATAACAAATACAAAACACTCCTACTGCCTGTGATCCTATATGGAAGTGAGTGCTGGACTCTCAATAAAAAAGAGAACAAATTGCTGATTTTTGAGAGAGGGATACTTGGAAAAATTTTTGGCGCACCCTATACAATCATGAGGTATATAAAAAGTATAACCAACCAGACATAGTTCATGCTATTAAGGCCAATCGCATTCGATGGCTGGGACACTTTTATAGATCTGAAGACCAAAACCCCGCAAAAAAGTAACTTTTTTTAAACCGGAATACACAAGAAAAAGGGGTCGTCCACCGACTAGGTGGATGGACGCAGTTGAGAGGGACCTAAAGATAATAAGAATAACTAACTGGAAGGCCATGGCACAGAATAGATCAAGATGGCAAAAACTTATTGGGACGGCCTAGGCCTGTCATAGACTGTAGTGTCCAAGGAGAAGAAGAAGAATGTTTGTTTATATTGAACGCAATTATACATATAGGCACCGCGTCAACATTTTCAAAAAATAACTTGAAATTTTTGATTTGAGTTCTATTAAATTCGAAAACGTGAATTGATCGTGAGTTTAATTCTCGTTCCAGTAAAGTTCCTGTGCAAGACGTTACTAATTTAGTACATTTCCTTTAATTTTTCATTTTAAATGATTTATGGGTATCTGTGATAGAAATGTTAATAATGTTTTAGTTGTGCTGTTTTATTGCTGATAATTTTAGATGGACAACTTCTAAATGGACAACTTTGTAAAAAAAAAAAAACATCATTAAGAGTTTCTAGTTTTAGCGATCGGTGTTGGCTTCAAATCAGCATTTTACATGTACGAATCAGGCTCATAATAGTTTGAAACATATTACTCTGACTTGTATTAAGATGATAATTAAAAAACAGTGTAGCTACAAATCCCATTTTTAGAAACTCCCTGGCAGGATTGTTAACAAACACTTTATTTGTCTGCTTAATTTTTGTTGTTCTCAAGTAATTTTGTCGAACATTGCATTCATATGAGCTCAGAAATAGCTATTCTAACGCAATTTGCTCATCTGGCAAATAAATTGATGAGCTTTACTAGTTCGTCGTCAGATGAATAAATTAAGATAAACTATTTATGTTTGACTCCAACTTTTAATAAAAACTATTAGAAAACACTAAAAAATTAAAATAATTCAGATAAATAAAAATACAGGTTCAAATGCGCACGAACAGCCAGATCGCAATGAAGAGGCAAACCTACGATCCTTGAGTGGTTATGCAATTCTCACGTGCTTTATCTGAGTTTGTTATCACTCTACTGAACAGACTGTATAACAACGTTTAATAAAAGTATTCTTCTTTCATAGGATCCTATTACTGGATTTTCGATGGAAATAGCTTTACACAGGATAGTCCTTTGCCATTAACCAATCTTGGATTACCTGCTGATTTGGATCGACTGGACTCGGCCATTGTGTGGGCAAAAAATGGAAAAACTTATTTTTTCAGAAGAGATTTATATTGGAGATATAATGAGACCACCAAAGAGATGGAAAAAAATTATCCGAAAAAGACAACAAGTCGATGGCGTGGAATTGATAACAACATCGACACAGCTTTCACGTGGAAAGATGGTAATTATTACAAAGCTATTCCGAAATTAAATAAAATAGTATGAGCGTTATTGTTCGGAAAAATCAGCATTTAAATGATAAAACAAAAACGTTAGCGAATTTTTATAGGCGGACAATTTCAAACGTAAAAATCTTTAGTTCCAACGTGAAAACAAATGGGTTTTGATGCTTCCCGCCTTCCTCATTTGTGATTGGACAGATTTCGATAACCCCTTCGCTATGATAATATATATTAATGTGAGACTGTTAATGGGCGAACCTATTTTTCTAAGTATGTATTAAATTACTGAAGAATTATTCTGGAACATGTAAACCGTTTTTTAATTTTTCTATCTCAACGAGTGTCAAACTGAGGCTTTTGTAACGAAGTAGTAGAGTAAATAATCACGAAGCATTCTGTTACTTAGATATTCGTTATCTTCAAGTTTGCAGATCAAAAAAGAACGTAAGAAAATGAATATTTAAGTATAAATTCCGAAACGTTCTTAGAGTAAAAAATGTTTCATTCTTATGTATTTTCCTGTGCAGCTAAAACAACATACTAATAATCAAAAGCTTACATTTTTTAAAATTAAAATGCATTCTATGTTTTAAAAACTCTTCTTTAATACTTCTATTGACTAAAGGGCACAAAAATATTTTAGACCTACAACATGCCATAATGCTTAAGAACAAACTAAAAAACTTCACATACATAAAATAAATCATTTTTAAGATAGGATGCAATAATTTTAACTCATTTTGATTACCACAAAAACTCGAAGCATTTTTAAGCTATGCATAATTTAAAAAAAAAAAAAAAAACTGAGATTCTAACCAATTGTAATCCTCATTTAATAAAATAACTTTCAAAACCATGGAAGTAAATTAAAATAATTAAACTAAATAAACACAAAGGTATAACAAATTAAAAAAAAGTTCAAAAGGTATAAATTATTTTGTCAAACTAAACAGTTTATGGCAGGCCCGTAGCCAGGGGAGGGGGGGGGGACCGTCAGGACAAATCCTCCCCCCGAAATTCTGGGATTCAAACTTTTTAGTCCTTCTTCGAGCCTCTCAGTAAAAAGAAAAACAAAAACTGTCGAATTAAACGTTTTATTAACTAACTTTATTAAGTATATTTCGGGATATTCTGGTTTGTGCTAAAAAAGTAATCGAAAAATTTTCTTCAAATCCCCGTCGCATGTCTTTGTAAACTTTGTTTACAAAATGATTATAATTATTATGTAATATTAATTGAAAAGTAAGTATTATGTAATATTTTTTAATTACTAGTTTAACTTTTGCAAACAGAATAAACAATATTTGTTACAATGTTTTCCCCCTACTTTGCAAGTCTGAAACTGTCCTTGCTTCTTACCACATCCCCCCCCCCCGAAAAAATATCCTGGCTACGGCCTTGGTTTGTGGGGATAGTAGTTATCGATAATGTGAACCTTCATCTATGAAAAGGCGCCTCAACATAGAATCAAGTTCTTCTTCTTCTGTTTAGTCTAACTAGGCTCATCCTGTAAGGAGAACTGCCATTCATCCTGTAATGAGAACTTAAGCAAAAGCAATAGACATATTACATGAAATACAACAATTAAATGGCACTTGTTAAGGTAGAGAAATAGAATCAAGTTAATATGTCTTATATTCTAGTGAATTGGAATTGTATTTTTTGTAGTGGTAAACACACTGCAGTACTCCCCCACCAGAATTATAGCTGCGATAGAATTCGATGAATGGATACCACTAGTTGTTTCATTGCTGTTTTTGTGAAAAGTCGGAAGAGCTGTATTAAGTTCACGTTCGTGGTCGCTCCTGTATTGCTTTAGCAGTCGATTGTATACGTTGTTCGTTGTGTGTGATCGAGACTGAGTAGCAACAGCGTGAGGAGGTGGGTAATGTCGCAGTCATAAGTCAACTGTTCAATGTAAACCATTCATCGAAGTAGGCGTGCTCAGATCGAAGAGTGGGCGTTTCTGTGAATGTTCACATTAAGTCCGAAGATCATCCATGTGGGGATAGTAGTTATCGACAATGTCAACCGCCACCCATGAAAAGGTACCCCGACATAGAATCGAATTAACATGTCTTATGTACTAAGTGATTTGGAATGGTATTTTTGTAGAGGTAGACACACTACAAGTTATTAAAACATCTTGCAATGCCCAAGAACCTAAAATTTTTATGAGTACTTAAAATTTTCATAGGAACGATGCATGGGTGGATCGTGAATTTGTGGGGCCCTGGGCCGAAACTACTTAGGGGCCCTAATAGCCATTTTGTCAAAAAAGCCCGTTTTCTATAGTGATGCAGATAAGTATATAGAAAAAAATAGGACAATAAAATAATTTTATTTATTTTTTATTTATTTATTTTCATTTGTGTATACAAACAGTGACTGTACAACATTATTGCAAAAGAAATTGACAGGTTATGTGTAGTTATGTTAGATAAATTATAAAGCAACCTTTCTGCATTTTTGTGCTGCAAATTCCTTTATTTGCTCATCACATTGTAAGTCCTTCGTTAAATCACAGTTTATGGATAGAACTGATAAATGATTTGTTGTCCTATATTTGTTTTCTATATGTATGACATCATGGAGAAAGAGCGCTCCTCTTCACAGCTAGTGATTGGCAAAGTTAAAAAAATCTTTAAGATAGTATAGCAATTTGGGAAAACATCAGCAAGTTTCTTTTCATGAATTAGCATAAAAATTTCACTGCAAGAGGTGTAAGACTCTGGCTTAGACCGAAGTAAATAAGATTTTAACTGAATGCACTCATTCACTAAATGCTCGTCTACATCATCTGGATAACAATCAACAATATTATGTACACTTTCCAGATCTATGTTTTTCATATTTTCGTCTTGCAAATTCATTAAAAATTTGAATTTCTTGCTATACATCTCATAGACTCGGCTTCTTTTATTTAAATCCATAATCAGCTTATCCAACTCAACGTTTAGCGTGTCTCTTTTAAAATTTTCTGCGCCGTATACTGATAATTTATCTGCAGACTTATCTGAAAATTTTGGAGTAATGCGTCTCTTGTTTATGTCATTGTAGTCTATTCCCACACTAGTAATTAATTTTTTAGCTTTCTTTTCGCATTCCTTTAGCTTCTGATCTGATTGGTGCCTTATGTTGTTCACGAAGTCTTGTAATGACGAAATTAACTTGTTGCCTTCACAAATATCTAAACCAGAGCTCTGTATTTTTTTATTAACTAAATTAAATCTCCCCAAAATTTCTTCTCATAAAATAATCAAAATTGCAGTATTGAGAATACATGCCTCTTTCCGGAAATCATCTTTCTCATCCTAATTTTCGCTGAAACTTTCGAAAATTTTCATAATGTCATTATAATTATTTTTCAAAGCTTTGACAGCAGCATAGTGACAAGACCATCTGGTCTGGCTTAAACTTTTAAACGTAAATTTGAGTTTTGTTTCACGATTTAACAGTTCCCACCTATGGGTCGAAGTAGAAAAGAAAACGTATATATTTTGCACTACTCCAAAGAAGTTCATAATTTCGGTTGCAACCTTAACAGATTCTTGACCAACTAGGTTAAGGGAAAGCGCAGCACACGGCACATAATCCGCGGATTTATTATTTTGTTTTAGTAGTGCTTGTACACCATTGTAGTGACCCGACATATTAGCAGCGTTGTCATAAGATTGTCCCCTACAATTATCCAGTAGTACTCCATTTGTTTCTAAAAAGTCTTGTAGAATATTAAATAAATGTAAGCCAGTATGACTACTAATTTTAAAGAAGGATACACATCTTTCATACACTTTTCCCTGAAAACAGTATCGTAATACATAGCAAGTTGGTCATTGTGAGATAGATCTGGAGTAGAATCCATCATAATTGACTAATACTTTGTGTCGTCGTTATTTATTTGAGTTATAATTTGTTTAATTATCTGTCGGCCCATCATCTCAATTATTTATTCATATACTTTTTTTGATAAGTATGATATCGGTTTTGGTCGCAGCTCTTGTTGTTCAATGTGTTCGCGAATGAATGGATCGAACTCTGCCAATAGCTCCAGAGCACCCATGAAATTACCATTATGTAGAGAACCAAATACTTCCTCGGAACCTCTAAATGCTAAGCCCCTTATACTTAAAAATTTGACCACTGCAATAACCCGGTTTTAGGACATTGTGATAATATTCTGTTTCTTTCCTAATTGCTTCTGAAGCTGCTTGTCTAAAACAGATCGATTTTCTTTTCGTGTCAACCACACTAACATTGATTTCTTATGCTCATTAGAATTTTCATGATTTTCTAAACAAGTTCCTATGTGTTTCCAATCAGAAAATCTGGTTGTGTATTAAGAAGGGATTTTAGAAAAAAGTTTGCAAGTCAAACAAAAAACAGTATACCAACTCTGGTAGAATAACATAACATACCAACATAACCAAGATCTTTCCAGTGATTGGCCATTTTTCATTTTCTTAAAGAAATATCTATTTGGAAATGTTCTGTTTTTTTCTTTGTATTTCTTTATTGAAGCTGAATATATATTCTTCGGATCTTTATTTAGAAAGTCAGTCATTTCATGTGAGAGGATGTCATTAATAAAATCATTATTTAGCAATTCTGGCCACAAGCCCTCGTCAACATACTTCTCACACTTAACATTCTCTAAATTTCGTTCCGCCTCGGTATTACCGTCCTCTTGCTGAACACCAATATAGTTTTCAGTGGGATCTCAGAGGGTTGCTGGTATTCAAGACTTTGCGCATTTTCATCACTTGTATTTTTTTCCTGGTGTTGCGATTTTCTGCTCCCTTCAAATAGATTCGCTTTTTAATAAATTTGTAGCTATTTCATTCTCGTTTTTGTGTTCTAATTTGAAAAAATTTTCAATTTTTGCACATTTCTTTCTTTTTTTTTTCTCGATCTAGCTGTAATCTCTGTTTTTCAGCTCCAATTTTTATTTTCTACCTGACATATTGTAAAATAAGACTGATATTTTTCTGAAAATAAACAATGAACTTGATAATTTTCTGGTAATAAACAGGGAACGAGATAATCGATGTAATATTGTTCTTCACATCACATTTTAATGCTTTGTAATGAGTGCAGTAATTCACAAATTATCGATAAAAATCGATTAAAAAGTTCATTTAGTATTGAAAAGATACATTAAAAACAAAAAAAAAACATGATTTATAATTTTTTTACTTACCAACTAAGAGCAGGAAATCTTTTCTTATACTGATTATGAACTTTCAATTATAGGTAAAAAAAGAGAAAGCTCCGGTCTTTATAACTTTTAAGTTATCATTTATTAGTAAACAAAACAAGTTTGTCACTTTGAAGGCAAGAACAGATGTGCGGAGAAAAAAAATTACGTCGGGCGTTAAGCGGCGTGGCGGGAAGTTCCCCGTAATAGACGGGGAAAAAATACACACCAAAAACAAGAGACGGGGAATTCCCCGTTCCGTTCAAAGACGCGCGCATACATGGGTTGATTGATCTCAGGTTTGCCAACCTTATAATAGTTTTTTTTTTCTAATATTAGATATTTTTTAAATTCAAAATATCACCTATTGTTTTCAGTGGGGACGGGGCCCCTTGTATCCACAGGGCCCTGGGCTGCAGCCCAAAAAGCCCTCAAGTAGATCCGCCCCTGGAACGATGAAAAATTGATTTCTGTTTACTTTTTGGGTTTCCTTGGTGATAACTTCAAATTATTTGTGTTTGAAAATCAATCACTATTTGTAGGAAGAAAAAAATGCATACTCTATAAAAAAGTAATTTTTAAAAAATATACAAGGTAATAATTTTATTCTGGGCATTTTTTAATGCAATTTTTAAAAAAAGTAAGATTCTCAAGGGCCCCCCGAGTGACTGGGGTCCCCGGGCATTGCCCTAGTGTGTCTATACGTAAAGACGGTACTGATTGACTACCAGAGGAACTTTGTCCGACTGTTAGGCCTAATTTGTAACAATGATGTTGACAATTTTAGGCGAAGTACGAAACATGAGACTACTTTATTATATACGACTTCTTCTTGATGTACTGTTAGGCAAGTGTAAATGACGGAGAAAGATGCGATTGAGGTGACGACCAAAGGAAAATAGCATTTCATTAAATAACATCAATTAAAAAAACATTTGTGTAAAGAATATCGGGCAATGCACCTCACATACCTTTCGAGCTTTATTATTCCAGCCAATCTGGTTATCATTATATATTAATAATACACTTTGCCGCTAACATATATATATTCTTTTTAAATATAAAAAATAATTATAGATCTCGAACAATGTATAAAATGTGGTTGGGATCTTAATTATATTCTTATAGAAATGCAAAGGTAATGTCCACAATTGTGCTCACAAGAACACAATGAATTAATATTTTTCAAAATCTTACTTTTTCCATGTTTGTATATTAACCTTCAAACTTTATTTCAGACAAAACGTATTTTTTCAAAGGAAGTATTTTTTGGAGATTCGACAACCAAAGAGTAAGCACTGATGAAAACTACCCTTTACATATATCGCAGTATTGGTTTGGCTGTACATCATCAAGTGTTTGAAACTCTGTAAATACTGCCATCGTTACATTTTATAGATAAAGCTGCATTCATTTGTAGAGTATCCTCCACCAATAAATGTCAGTGTACATTTTTTAAAGTGCTTATTTATTTCAACATATAAATACAACTCTTATATTTAAAGCAATCGTTTCTCGTCATGAAATTTCCAGCCACAAATTTATAGTTAAGGCTGGTGTTGTTACCAATTCAAAAACAAGGCGAGTGTTTACACAAACCAACGATTGTGATGTGCGTGAAAACATGTCGAAATGAAACTATTAACTTGAAATTTCGTAACACATTGCAAAAAAGGAACGCGCCTAAGACTGGTTCAGGTGTACGAAAATGCGATAACTTTCTTAACCTGTGTCTCCAAAGAATCGAACACACACAGACTTCATTAGGGGCTCTTGAGTTTTGCTGACAAATCAAACATACGCTCAAAAAAGAGCCCTTTCGTTGGAGCACAGCTTTATAGAACAACCAGATTATTATTATCACGAAAGGTATTTACTTTGTATGCTTACATTAAGCGTACTTTTCAAGACGTATTTTTTATTAATATATAAATTTTAATAACTTAATTAAACAAAAAATCCTACCTCCTGGAAGATGATTTCTAAACGTAATAATTTCAGCAGCACAGCAAAAGTAATTAAGTATTGAACGCCGAAAACAGTTAATTCATTTGTTTTAATTCATAAAGTGGCTTTATAGCAGTTATTTTTGATTACCAATGTGAACAAATCGCATTCAATTAGAAATTTATATGTTATACAACTCAGAACAGGCATATGGACAAACTCATTTTTAAAGATTATTTTTTTAATTAAACTTGCCAAGCAGAATCTGTATAGGAAAACCTTTAAAACCTACCCAACGGCAAAGACTTTCCCCCCCTGGCTTTTAAAAGCAAAAATTTGAAAAATTATGTGAAAAATTGCAGATATAATCTTGAATATATATTTTCCTGCAAATGGCACTATTATGCATTATGTTACTACACATGCCCCCTTTTTTTTTTATACTTATATTTGCATATTCACAGTTCAGTATTCAGCGTAACAGGAACGCGTACCAATACAGTACAATTTACCCAGTAGACGTTCAGAATTTCCATTAGGTGTCGTGAAAGGCGTTTTCTTATTTATGGATAATCCACACGGGCTTAGGTACACCAGATGTCTTATAACTATGGTAAGGGGGAATTGTATTTAAGGGGGCATACGGGGAAAGTAGTTTGACCCGTCCCCATGGCAGATCTGTTCAGGAGGAGGAGGNCGTGAAAGGCGTTTTCTTATTTATGGATAATCCACACGGGCTTAGGTACACCAGATGTCTTATAACTATGGTAAGGGGGAATTGTATTTAAGGGGGCATACGGGGAAAGTAGTTTGACCCGTCCCCGTGGCAGATCTGCTCAGGTTCACACCGGTTATATACTGCTCTAAACGAAAATATTATTACAGACTCAATGTGAAGCAATCAAATGGAATTAAAATCAAAGTCAGATGTTAAAATAGTAGAGAAATCAAACAAAACACACGGAAAAAATAGTCAATGTTACGTACCTAATGAAATCTATCTGAAAGAGGTAAACTGTAAGACGAGCAAAAATATTTAGCATTAGATAACAAAAGATTTAAATAACATCATAAAAATAGTTTTCTCTTTTTAATAATGTTTTACTTTTAATGTTTATTCTTTACAATAATTTAGTTCTCGGTATTTCCAAATTCGGTGAACTTAATATAGCTCTCCCGGTCTTTCGAAAATACGGCCTAGTGGTATCCGTTCATTGAATTCTATCCCTGATAAAATTCTGGTGGGGGAGTATTGTGGCGTTACGATTATTAATCTTCAATTCGCTAGTATACAAGACATGCTAACTCGCTCCAATTAAACCTTTTGATAGATGAAGTCCATTCCCTTACAGGCTTTTAGATTTCTCTACCGGCTCAAATATGGATGTCTTGTGGTCGATCAGATGAAACTTCGTGGATGTTTGCCATGACGTTTCCTGGACAGCCACTGGATTATTTCGCGCTATATGGGTTAGTTATAATAATTAAGGTTATATTTCATTTAGAGAAAATTGAGAACGGAAATTAATAAATAGTTTTGTTTTCCCCTGTTATATCTTTTCTCCTAATTGACCAATTATTGTAGGTTCCAATGCTGGATATTAATGGCATAATTTGTAAAAGTATTATAGCACTTCCTTTTTCTTTTAATTGCTGATGTGTTTAAAATACGATTTTCATTTTTCCTTTTTAAATCGGCTATTATTGTTTGATCGACGAATTTTGCCTGTTTGAATTTGGTAATGTGAATTTTATTAAAACAATAATAAGCGAAATGAGATTCAAAGAAAATTAACTATCATTAAAACTCTATGCCTCATTACTAAAGCAACCGGTTTTTTTCCCCTACCATTTTGACGTGTATAATGAAAAGCAAGGTGTTTATCGAAAAAGTTAAACTTTGGATATGGTAATTATTTAAAGCATAGTCTCAGTTGTAATTATAAACAATAAAAAGTTTGTGTCATGCGCACAAGAAAATGTGACGTTGACATGTCAAATTTTAACTCTGCAACTAATTTTTCTGTCTGCTGACTCAGAGTATTTTGCGGTTTTCATTTCGCAACAAGTTCAACAGTTAAGAAATCAATTATCGAATTCTATAATTTGTAATTTCATTGCAGCAGTTATTGATTTTCTTTAAATCGTCTAAACAGTTTTCGCGTAGCAAAAAAATTATGAAGACTTTTTAAACAAATCCAGAAGGCGGTTATAAGCAATGAAAAAAAAAATGTGCATAGGTAATTAAAAAAAGAATTTCACGTGATTTACGTGTATTACAAATGTTTGCTATGATTTTTCAAAAATTTTACGTTCTATGAATTAATCTGTTTATGCTTTTCATCTTTTAATATAGTACAACCAAATAAAAAAAATTGCTACAAGTAATGATTACTGGTCAAAAGTAAATTTTTAAAATTATTCTTCAGTTATCATTTAAAAATACTTTCATTTCATTAAAATGAAATAGGTATGTTACAAACATTTAAATTATTAATAACTGCACATTAGTTTCTAAGTTATTGTTTTAGATAGGGCAATCATGATATCATACTTTTTGAATTATTTTGCAGCGTTTTATTCCTCCACTCGATTCCGATAAATTAATAAATCTTTTTTGAAGAGTACTTTTTTATTAGTTTCCAAAAGTTAATTGAAAATCGCAATTCTCGAATTGGGGGCATTCAAAATTAAGCCCGAACTTTCATTTTTTTGCTTATTATTCGGCTCCAAAACTTTCGGTACATCCGTTTCGGGTGGCTGTCAAAAAATTATTGCCGCAGTACCTAAGTATATTCGATACTTATTACCACAATTCATCCATTATTGTTCAACAATCTTTTTAAAAGACCTCGAAACGGATAAATGCAGAGCTTCCTTCAAATTGAAATTTACCATTATTTTTTTTAATTTCACTCATAGGTCACCCACTAAAGTTTAAAAATCTCCAAAATTTTGGCATCTCATTTTTAATAAAAATAAGTATTTATTTTGATACAATATATTTCTAACAAAATAGTCCCACTGATAGTTAGACACGGATTCCAGTAGATCACCAGCAGCGTCATTAGTAACGGTAAGTGAGCGGGCTCGATTGCGATGAGACTTAGGGATGTTGGGCAATAACATCGCTAAATTAGGTGCTGATCTTAGAGGTGTAATTTATGTAAAGAGAGTTGTCCTGTGATGATCCACTATGAAGGCGAAGGGCTGAGCTGAGTTTGGAATTATAAAATTTAATAAAAAATGGTCACAGCTGTGTTTTAGGAGATGGAGAAAAATTAATAAAAAGAGAACCTTTTACACTTCACAAGCATGTTTTTTCATATTAATTTCTTTAGACATTTCATTGCAATGAGTGCGCTATCATTGCGTCGTTATAGAATGAATTTATTACGTTTTTAACCTGTAAAATTGCTATTTATGTTTTATTCGCACGACAATAATGTAGTTAACATTTGTAGGCATTTTAATTACTATTAAACCTCATATGGGTACAAAAGTTTGGAACTTTTTATTGCTTTTTCAATAAAGAACGTTCATTGGAATTGGCGCATTACTTTAATGCCAATATTTTGAAAACGAATCGGTATTTATTTATTTTAATGTGTCAATATAAAATGCTTTTTCTTTAATAATTGCGAATCAAATTTAATTTGAAATTTTAATTTGTATTTATATATAATGTATTTTTTTGTCTTTATTTTACCAAAAAATGTAATCATATAATAAATTTCGCCAATACATACAATTTAAAAGCAGATTTTTTTTTTTTTTATAATTTAGGAAATTATTTTATTATTTTGGAAAAATTATTTGGATATGTATATTTCGTTTAGAAATTTTACATTCATTATTCTATATTTATTATTTAGTAAAAATAACTAACTAAAACTAAATTTACTTGACTGTATAATTATGAATAAATAAATCACTCTATAATTTATTTTGATGCTTCAAAATAAAATGTTTCTTTTCTTCTAAAAATTTCAAATCGAATTTAATTTTAAACTTATGTAGGGTAAACTAACCAGTGAAGGAACACTTAAGCTTCACTTGCTCTCTTAAAAAATCATATTAATTTCAAAATTCGTAATTTTAGTTAAATGACAGTGTCAACATATTTGTTACTAATTGCAAATTATGTAAAAAAATTGTAGAGAACTTACATAATATTGTTTTAAAGTTTTGGAGGTTCAAATAACAAGTAGTAAGAAGACCAAGTGAAGGAACAGCTCTTACCAGTGAATGAACACCCAGTAAAGGAACACTTAATTTTGGTTATTTTTTAATGCTCTTTATGAATTTATAAGCCATACAAATATTTAAAAACAAGCCTATTCTTGAAATTATAACATATAAATACTTGGAAAATGTTAACTTTTTTTTGTAATCATGAATTGAAAATTAAAGTGTCAACATATTAACACATACTGTTCATTCACTGGGAAATCTATGCCCAGTAAAGGAACATGCCTGTTCCCTCACTGGTTAGAAGTTGTTTTTCGTATTTTTAACATACTTTTGATGCGGAACATCACTAAAGGTACAAGAAAATTAAAGTTTATCTTTTATTTTCAGTAACTTAGAAAAAAACCCTGTCAAGGAACACTTGTTCCTTCACTGGTTTTTCAGTGTTTGGTGATCCAGTGAATAAACACCCCCTATATTTTAAATTCTCTTTTTCACAGTGAGAAAAATAAAACTATTACATGCAATTAATTCCACTTCAAACATATAAATGCAAACACTCACCTTATAATTTTTTCAAAGAAACAAGGTGTTGCAGAGATATAACAAATTCAAAATTTTTTGCAGAGAAGTCTATCTGACCAGGTAATCCAAAACATTGCTAGATGACTTCCTCTTGTTTGGCAGTAAGCTATTGTTACCAATTAATCTAAAGAAAAACTTTCAAATTCTTATTTTTAATCAATATATATGAAATGTTCCTTCACTGGTTGGTTTACCCTACAGTTTGTTGGATCAAAAAGTTAAATCATCTTTTAATAAATTTCTTAAACACAAGATTTATAAGCATAAAATTAGTTTTCTTTTCATTATTTAAAAATTATCTAGTATTTACGGAAAATAATTTGGGTATAGATATTTACTGAGGCAATTTTATATTTATTGTTTAGGAAAAATATTAATTGACAAAAACTTAATGTTCACGAATGTGTTTAAATTTCAGTACCTAATCTCAGTTTGTTGAAAATGTGGCAATTCATTATAAGTATACATCTTTTATTTTAATATTTATACAGTTATTATTTTTATACAAATTTTAGGCGAAATCATATATAACTAATATGAAATGTCTTTTTTATGACTAAGCAATAAAGAGTGAATAATTAAAAGCAGTGCACACATTACAATGTTTTTTATTCAAAAACTTATCTTTTATAATGGCTAACAAAATTGGGGCAACATTAAAAGACAACAAAAAAAGTTTATACATTCAAAGTCTCAAATGAAGGAAAAAGCATAAGTGCAATAAAAACCTGACGAATCACTATTGAGTAAAGCGAGATTAAAAACTATGGTAATCAATCTAGTTTTAATCTTTTCAATCCCCCCTTCTCAATAACGATTCATCAGAATTAAAAATAAAAAAAAACTTTTCAGGGCTTACCTAGATTAAATATTTATTTGCAACCTTTAATGCTTATAAAATTTTTACTTCATTTCTGATCAGGATTCTAAAAATATAGATTAAGAATGATGATTATTGGAAAACCCTTGATTTCAAAGTCTCTTTTTAAAGAGTATTGTTTACGAAGTATTTTTATGGCAACTAGTGAATGTTTATTGTATTGTGACTTTTATAACAATTGAGACAAACATTTAATTTGCGCAAGAATTAACACAAATTGTATAAAAGCTTAACAGTTATAAGAATAGGGCCCACACACATACAAAGATTGTCGATTTAACAGTAATAGTTATTCTAGTATTGAGAGTTTTGAAATGGTTGTATATATATATATATTTCTTTTTGCAGATAATATTTTTCAGAGCTAAGTTAAACTGTGATGAAAGATGAAGATAATATTGATCGTGGGAGTCATTTTATGCATGATTTTGAAAATAAGTAAGAAATATATAGAAATTTTGACAAAACACTTTTCTTCCCATAAAAGTATACAAGTGGTAAATAAAATTATGAGATAATGATAAATGGAATAGTTGAAATGATAGATTTCGAATACTCCCCATGGCTTCACATTTTTAAGCTTATTTTTTCTAAAAAAAATATTAATTTATAAGCTCAAATAAAATACAAATATTAAAGAAAAAAGGAAATTATATTAAAAAGTTAATAAAATAAAATAACATTTATTTACTTCTTTATTTTTAAAGATATATATCTCAATCTTCAAATAAGACAATTACCATTGTTTTTACTTCAGTGAGCAATGATGTACAAAAACAAATCAGTTTTTAAAATTTTTTTTATGTGATCAAAATCAACTTCACCAATCAACGTAAAAGCTAAAATGATTTTGACAAGAATAAAAAAATCTTTAAATAATCATGGATCTATCAGTTATTGGATTGATATAATAAAATTAATGTTTACTCAATATTAAAGCTTTAAAATCAATTAAATACTTGATGGATATGGAACCACTACCAACATTGACAACCAACATCGATTTAACAATTGAGACACTCATTTCCATGTTTAGAGTCCACTTCTCTTATGTGGGCACTAAAGACTCCTGTTGCATGTTGGAGCTTTTGGGAATTAATTTACAGATAGATAATTATGAAGTACACTTTAAAATTAATAACTTTTAATCCAAAAAACACTACTAGTTGGAAGATCTATTATGTATCTCAGCTTCAGAAGGCTCTCTCCTGAAATGGATTACAAGTCAGTTCATTTATAGTAAAGACATCATTCCAAATCAGTTCACTTAAACGTCTTCATTTTTTTTGAAAGGAAAAAAAAAAAGAATTTGTTAGCTAGATTGTGGAGAAGTATTCCCATCTAGTAAAGTAAGATTTAATCATTGAACTCTATGTCTAGAGATTTAATATAGATGTATAAATGGTGACAAGGACAGTGATTCCAAGCTGACAGTCTGTCAGCTAAAGTGCACTCAAAAGAGTCACAAATACATTAAAAAAAACGCATCATTTTGCTTTAAAATATACTTTTCTCACACTTAAGTATAAATATTTAAACAAATGGTGGTTTTTTTAGTTGCATGACAGTAATACATAAGGTTTTTCTCATGAAAGTATGTATGTTTAAATGAATGGTACACAACAATGTGGTTAAAGTATATAAAATATTCAATCTTTTTTTTAATAATAAACTACTAAATTTAGAACAAGTCAAAATGTTTTTTTTTCCTTCTATCTCAGAGGCACAGAAAAGCAACGAATTGGCCCCAGAAACCAGTCATGACCCCTCTGAATATCAGAAAGGAGCAGTTGACAATAAAACTCATAGCCAAAGTTTACTTGAATATCAAAAAAGAGCAGTTAATAATGAAACTGAATTTCTCAAAGACATTCATCAACATACTGAATATCAGAGAGGAACAGTAACAAATATCACTGAGTCACATGATTTTTTCTCAATCATTCGCTTTTTGCCAAATTTAATTCCAAACATAGTTAAGACACGTCATTGGATTTCTCCATATTCTTTCGGATATGGCTTAGAAGATAAAGTAAGTGATAAAGTTGAACATGGCTACTCAGATCTGGCAATTTCAAGTAAGTACCTATTTTCTTAAATAACTTAATTTTCATAAATAAGCAGTACTTTCTGAGGGGAAAAAAATTGTAAATTCTTTTCTTTATAAAATAACTTACAAGCCTCAGCATATTAAGAGATAATAAGCTAACACAAATCTTTGCAAATTTACGTTTTTATTAAAAAATAAAAATATTGAAAATGTGAGTAAAACATATTATAAGACAGAATAATTAACACTTATAAATGATTTAAATAAAAACCCTACCCAAAGAAAATTTCATGAAATGCTTTTAAAAACATAACAATTATCTGAAACAATTGCTTGAGCAGAATCTTGTGCATATAACAAAAAAAGAGCAATTCAAGGTTTTTAAGAACAAGATTGTAAAAAGTTCAGCTTTTAAAATTATCATACTTGCTAACCAGGAAGTTCTATTTTACCATAACATTTAAATGGGTAGTGAAATAACAATTAAATAAGATGATTTCAACTTCAATAGACAGGGTTATGTATTTTCCATGCCTCGTTGACGTCGAAGCCATTTAAAATTAATTTAACTAAAGACGAAAATTTACATTTTGCCTTAAACATTCAAGAAAAATCTGCAGAAGCAGAATTATTAGTTCAGAAACCGTTTATTGTAACAAGATGTTGAGAAAATCCTTTACTCTCAATTAAAAACGAGTTTCTGTTTATTTATTTATTATTTTTTTTAAAAAAAACTGTCTTTGTATAATTGGGAAAAATAAATTTAATATATAGCAACTTGTCTTTGCATTTTGAACAAAAAGCCAGCAAACAAAGGTTACTACAATCGACACACGAACTAAACATTTTAAATAATCTTTGGGAAATCCATGTATTTTACATATGTTTACTCAGTTTTCAAAATGAATTACAAACTTTAATAAAAATAATCCCCCCCCCCAGCTAACAAGATCAGTAATGAATTGGCCACAGAAACCAGCCCTGATTCATCTGAATACCAGAATGGAACAGAATTATCCACTAAAACATTTCATGAGGAAGGAAGAGTACAAAAGAAAGGTCATCCTCTCTTTTTTATCTTCCGATTTTTGCTACATTCCTTTATTAACTTATTGAGTCCACACCGTTGGATCTCTTCAGGTTCTATTGACATGGAAAATAATAGAAGCGATGAAGCAACAACACACCAGGATGTCTTCAAAACACAAGATAGAAAAGTTGCAAGTATGTGGCTATTTTCTTTATGGATTGTATACACTTTAAATGGGTTTAATAACGTTTTGCACAACAATAAATAAATAAAAAGAAATTAAGAATGATTAGGAACTTTTTAAAAATTTTAATGTTTTATACGACTTTAGGTTATTTTTCAAATCCTGTCGGGGAAGAGTTTGAAGACCATAACTCTCCATAAATAGTCCAGCAACATTAAAATAGTCAACTATAGGGAAATCTTGAAGAGAGGATACAACAAGCTAGGGTTAAAATCTATAGTATATATCAGGGATGGGCATACTTTTTTGGTCGAGGGGCCAAAAATCAAGAAAAAAAAATGTTTGGTGGGCCAAGTAAAAACTTCAAAATTTAAGAAAAAAAGGTGATATGCAAGTTTTAATTTAAATATTTAGTGAGATGAAGGAAATTGCGATTTCATTTTTAAAAGTTCCTTACATTAAGGTTGGAAGTGAGATGTGCTTATTTTAAGGAACAAGGCTAAATGCTTTGCTGTTAGTCTACTTCTGAAATGATTTTTTCTAAGGTTCATAGTTGAAAACTCTTGCTCACATATATAAGATTAAGCAAACATGCACTGATNAGACGAAAATTCACGGTCAAACTGCTTCAGTTGGAGCCAATCTACGGCTATTCAATAAAGAACTTCTGCTTTCAACATTTTACCAGTTGAAGCTGTTTGAGCTAACTATATCCATCAATTTATGTTTTGTAGAACAAAAATAGAGAAAGCAAAAACTTCATCAGTACTTCGTTGAAAAAGGAAAAACAGAAATAATTTTAAGCATAGTCGACAAGAAAATGGATGTATATTGTTTATATTTGCCACTGATCGGCAAATAAAAATTCTATCCGAGGGCCAGATAAAATCTTCCAGAGGGCCACAGTTGGCCCGCGGGCCGTAGTTTGCTCATCCTTGGTATATATCATTACTTGTAGAATAGAAGGAGTATTTGGGAGAAGAAACAACAGATTTCACGAATATTATCAGACTGAAATAAGTAGTAGGTATTATACAAATTTTAGTGTTTCATGCTAAACCTTCTGAATATTTTCACCGTTCTGATTCTGATAATTTAGTCAGAGGAACTTCAAAAGTAATAATAAAAAAATAAGTAGATAAAAAGTTATAAATAACAATAATCTTACTAACTGGTGATCACTCAAAAGGAAAACTATTCTCCCTTTCTGTGAGTGCCTTTCAAAAATATCATTATGAATATAGTAAGCTATACAATTGCGATTCTTTAAAAAATTATGAAGGACCCCAGTAATGAGAAATGAAAAAAAAAAAATCAAAAATACAAAACATCAGCTAACCAATTAATGAGCAAACACTTCCCCTACACTATTTAATAATACTATAATTTTTTGCAGTGTTCACTGTTCTTTTTTTGTAACACTATGTAGAAACAGTAAATAATGTTATATCATTATAGCAAGTATTTATTATTTTTTTATTAAGTAATTTTTCTAATAGTAGGACATTGAAATGTTTTCACACAATTTCTAGGCGCAGATATATATTCCAAATAGGTTGCGTGATACATAAGCATTGCAAATGAATGACAAGTATTATTTACATGCATGAGTTTCTATTAGTTTTTAAGTAGGATAGTGAAATTCATTCTTCTAATTTTTAGATGAAGTAAATCCTCCACACGTGGAGAAATCACAAAGATCCGATCAGACAGGTGTTCATTTGCGTAAGTTTCACGTCTGGTATCTGTCGAACCCACGTTTGCCCTCGAGTCAACCTGCAACGGGATGGCTGAGTGGAAATGAAACGACTCATACGACACTCGCAGGTAACCATAACTTTCGCAATAAAAACTTTCATTCTATTGAAATTCTACAATTTAGGTGTTTTTTTCTGATAACAATGTTATTTCTTCAATGAATATTTTCAATGTTTATGAAATTAATTTTCCCATTTCAAGCTGTTAGTTTTCTATTTGAGTGTGATATCCTCACAGAGCTTCACAAATGTGTGACTTGGAAAGTGATTTCCAACAGAAATAAAAATCAAACTAGAGGAGAAGAAAGGGAAACTAATGTGATAATGAAATGCTGTATTGTGTTTTCAATAAAATTTTTGTTGAGTTAGTATTGAAATATTTCAGTATTTTAACAGTTGGGCTGAAAAGTTCGTAGGCTGACACATAGATGGGCTACTATTATTAAATACATATGATTTTTAGTTAGTTCTAACCTTTGAAAGACATGTGTATAAATTTGACAGCCATCGGACTATTAGTTTGTGAGATAGTATTTTTAGTATTAGTATTTTTAGTGAAGCAACTTTTGTTAGTTTAAAAACAATGGATAAAAAGGAATTTCGTGTGTTTTTAAAGCATTGTTTTTTAGCGAAAAAAATACTCTTGAAGCTAAGGCTTGGCTTGGGAAACATTATTCAGACTCTGTACCAGGAAAATAAATCATTGAGAAGTGGTTTGCTAAGTTTAAACGAGGCGAAATGAGCACCGACGACGATGCACACAGTAGTCGCCCCAAAGAGGCTGTTACTGACAAAAACATCAAAAAAGTCCACAAAATAATTTTAGATTACCGTAAAGTGAAGTTGATCAAAATATCTGTGACTCTAACGATATCAAAGGAACGTGTTGAACATATCGAGAATGAATATTTGGGTATGCGAAAGCTCTAGGCAAAGTGGGTGCCGCACGAGTTCCCAATTGGACAAAAGCAACAACGAAGTGATGATTCTGAGCTGTGTTTGAAGCTGTTTAATCGTAATAAACCCGAATTTATGCATCAATATGGGACAATGGGTGAAACATGGCTCCATAATTTCACACCGAAGTCCAACCGACCGTCAGCCGAGAGAACTACACGAGACGAACCAACTCCAAAGCGTGGAAAGGCGCAACAGTCAGCTGGCGAAGTTATGGCGTCAGTATTTTGGAATGCTCATGGTATAATATTCACTGACTATCTTGAAAAGGGAAAAACCATCAACAGCGACTATTACATAGCGTTATTGGAGTGTTTGAACTACGAAATGGCAGAAAAACAGCCCTATTAGAAGAAGAAGAAAGTGCTGTTTCATCAAGACAATGCACCGTGTCACAAGTCAATGAAAACGATGGCAAAATTATATGAATTAGTCTTCGAATTGCACCGTATTCTCCAGATTTGGTCCCCAGCAACTTTTTCCTGTTCTTAGACATCAAGAGAATGCTTGTTGGAAAGAAATTTGGCGCCGATGAAGAAGTAATCACAGAAACAAAGGCCTATTTTGAGGCTGAAGACAAATCGTACTATAAAAATGGTATCGAAAAATTATATGACCGCTATAATCGTTATATAGCCTTTGAAGGAAACTATATTGAATAATAAAATGGAATTTTATTAAAAAAAATTTTTTTTCTATGTTAGCCTACGAACTTTTCAGCCCAACTGTTAACATGCGATATATGGAATCATAGTTTAAAACATGCAGTTATAATGAAGAAAAGGTTGTTTAGTAAGGAAGCCTTTAGAGTGGATGAAATTTTTTTCCTTTTGAAAGGAAAAATTATGTTTAAAATAGAAAGGTAGGGTGAGTTTTATTTTGCATATAATATAATAAGTTTTACATTACTGATGATGCTTTTTCATGACCTTTTTTTCTCTTAATAACATAATGAATACTTCTTATTAATTCATGTTGAATTCCTTGAAGTTATTTTTTTAAATAAATTAAAATAGACATATGCTTTAAAANTTATCTGAGTATGTCAGAAAGAGCATGTCACATTTAAAGTATGTCACAAAGAAAAAATATCATGTTCGCGATTTTTTCTTGCCTTCTTAGGGTGTAAAAAAGAAAAAAATTCATGTAGAAATAGTGTGCCCCCCAAAAAAATTTTAATTTTTTTTTGGCCGCCTAATTGGCGTTTACTTGTAGAATTGCTCATATAGCCTTTGAAGGAAACTATATTGAATAATAAAATGGAATTTTATTTAAAAAATTTTGAATTCCTTGAAGTTATTTTTTTAAATAAATTAAAATAGACATATGCTTTAAAAATGGAAACAAAATGGATGTATAATTTTTACTAAGTATATAGAGTAATTTTAAGTACTGTTTTTATGAATAAGTTTATAAAAAAAACCTGTAGAATAAGGAAATAATAATATGTAAAAAAATATTGAACTTATGTTTTTTTAGATTAGAGTAGCAATTGTAATAGTTTTTGAGAAACATCTTAAGTTTTCTGCTGTAAGAATTCAGAACCTTAACTAAACAAATCAACAACAGTAAGTCCTTATATTTAACTGAATGAAACACAATAAGAAGCATTTAATGCAAACACTCATTTATGAGAAATTATTAAAAACTGTAGTGAAATATAGAAGTTAGTATTTAAGATTAGCGAATAATTTCATTCCACTTTCAGGTTCCTACGGATTTTTAATCAAAATAAAGAAAAGGTCTAACAAGCATTTCCGTCAATTCAGCCATGTTAAATGGATCTTTTGGAAATCAATATTTTGTTTTATATTTAAAGTAACGGTGCATTGCTTGGTAATCATGGGGCTTCTTTTACTTTTTCACAACCTCTTTTCAATGAAGAAAAACACTGAGCACAAAAGGAGGAAGTCAAATAAAGTTGGATATTATTTGGTAGTTTGACAAAAAAGGTTTAATTTCAAGTCTACAACTTTATAACAGAAATAATAATTGGTGATGAATATATAAATAAAATGTTATAAGATTAAGAGTGCTGTTTTATGGGTTTGTTAAATATATTAACATAATTATTTTTATGACTTTTTTCCTTTCAAACAACTTTCTTGTTTAAAACAGTTTTAAATTATGAGGTGGATTGAATATCCACTTATAAATAAAATTAAGTTTATTCTGTATTTGTTATAGGAGAGCTCTAGAGTAACAATTACAAATCGTAGCCCTTTTATAGCACCAGAGCTGCTGATTTAATATATTCTATTGGGAAAAAAAAGAAAGAATTAACTAATAATAAAATAAATGTTGCTGTAAATCCAGTCCATTCATGTATCGTATTACGATATTAATATTATCAGCATTTTAAAAACTATGTGGAAATCCATAAGAATAACTTTCATAAAAGCAAGAGATAAGACTTTGCTAATGGACCAATTCAATGGAATCATTACAAATGAAAAATCTAATTACTCAAAGGGCGATTCAATACTCGTATAGCATAATCTTAAAACTAAAAGGAAATCCATAGCAATTACTCTTCAAAAAAGGATGAAATCCTCGCAAATCTAGCATAAAAAAAGGTTACTCAAAGGTGCTTTTTGTGAGTCATATTAAAAAATATCATGATTTTAAAAAACATGTCAGAATTCGTAGAAGTTGCTAAAAAAAACTATTGAAACAGAACATGGAATTGTCTTAAATCATACATATTTTAATGTTTTATTTTTTTGTTACATGGCAACCAATCTTTGCGACTAGGGTTTGATATTTTGGTAGCCATTTTATATGTAATGATTGTCCATTAGCGACCATCCATCTAGAACTCAATGTTATAGTCTCATCTATATGGTTTTATCTAAATGTCTTATCGGTACATAATAGATTATCAGGTAACTCATTTAAAACAATAATAAATTATGCTCATTATAGTCAATATTAAAACAGTTCATAGAATGTTATACAAATATAAATTTTAACAAGACAAATATTTGTTTGCTTCCAAGGAAAGAAAGATAAATTATTCAGTTAAAGATAAGGCTGTTTATTTTAAAATATGTGCAAAAAATGAAGCAATTAAAATTCCTAAATCAACATTTAAGTGAGAAAACAAAAATATTACAAAAACTTGACAAACCACTGTTGAAGACAGTAGAATTAAAAATATCAGCATTCCAAAAATATCTGTATTTCTCCTCTTTGTTTTTTTAACAATCAAACATTTTAACTCTTCTAATGCTACCTTTTTTATTTATAATTCTTAATATTTTATCAAAATTTCATTTTCTTACCCAAATATTAAATTGTGAATTTTATGTGCATTTTTAAATTTCCTTTTTAACCATGTTGAGTAAAATAAATATGATTAACCAAATAGCGGGAAAAAGAATGTTTCATAAATCTTTACCTGACTCGGTTGTAGTATGGACTTGGAACTAATAAATTAAAGGTGGAACGTTTAGACATCTCACAAATCAGTTAGAATTTGCCACAATTTACTGGAATCGGGTATAAACTTAGAATATTGAATTATACCTTGAAAACATTGAAACACTCCACACACACGAATCGATACACTATTTATTTTTTCAAGCTCAATGAATAATTAATTAGGATGCACAAAGCGCCATTTGTGGACTGTAGAATTAAACATACCGCCCCCCCCTTGAAACACGGAGGGGTTTTAAAATTAATGAATTTAGTTAAACATAAAAAATAACTTCAATTAACTATAAGGTACACTTGTAAATTAATGAAATTAAGCAACTGGTTTTACAGATGAATAGATGACTTCTACAATGCTAGAAGAAAAATTAGGCATAATTACAAATGTTCAAGTGTTTATAGGAATAGGACACAATTTTGCAATAGGTCTCACAAGTTCACCAGTATGAGTCTTTACCAGGGAACGTGTCCGTGACCTTCCCTAACTTCCACTGTAGTGGGGGTAAGTTGTCGTGTTTGATTAAAACAAGATCTCTGATGTCAAGGTTCTTTTGAGAGATACGCATCTTCGATCTTGATTGTAGCAATGTCAAGTACTCTGAGGACCATCTATTCCAAAAATGTTGGGTCATTCTTGCAAGTAATCGCGAACGGTCGCAGTGACGAATGTCATCTGGAAGCGTAGGTTGTGGAATAGCTGTCAATGCCTTTCCTATCAGGAAATGTCCTGGTGTCAGAACAGACGGATCATCTGGACTGCTAGATAATGCACATAGTGGTCTTGAGTTAAGGCAAGCCTCGATTTGACATGACAGTGTGGCTAGTTCTTCGAAGGTGAGACTAGTATCTCCACAATGAAATTTGAACGATTTCACTGTAGCCTCCCAAATGCCTCCGAAGTGGGGAGCAGATGGAGGATTGAAGTGAAAGGCGATGTTGTCTGATACCAGGAATTGTTGAAGGGCGTCTTCCTTCATCAACTGCCGGAACTCCTTTTTGAGCTCTCTGCTAGCTCCGTAGAAATTGGTTCCTTGATCGCAGAAGATATCTGAAGGTCTACCTCTGTGTGCCACAAATCTTTTTAAACAAGCACTAAATGCTTTTGAGGTTAAGTCACTGACGACTTCAAGGTGAACTGCCTTCGTTGCGAGGCAGACGAAGACGCATTTGTAGCACTTAGTATTTCGGCTGCCTCTTCCCTTGGAGCTTCGTATCAAGAATGGGCCGGCGAAGTCAAGACCAGTTCATTGGAATATAGAAGAGGGACAAGCTCTGAACTCTGGAAGATCACCCATGATTCGTTCGGTGAGCCATGGACGATTTCTGAAGCATGGGATACATGTTCTCACCACTCTTCTAACTGCATCTCTGGCTAAAAGAATCCAAAATTTCTCTCTGAGAGCTGTTTGGAGAAGTTGAGGACCGGCATGAAGAAGTTTCAAATGATAATCAGTGATAAGTAAGTTCACAACATGGTTGGTTTTAGGAAGCAGGATGGGATGCTTCTTTGATTTTGGAAGCATTGAAGTTTTCCGTCTACCACCGACATGAATTATTCCAGAATCATCATAAAACGGAGTCAAGAGAACAAGCTTGTTATTCGAAGGAAGCTGCTTGCCTGTTGAAAGATAGGAGACTTCCGTCGGAAAATGATCTTGTTGGATGAATTTGACAATTCTCTTCTCGGCTTCATTCGTTGTTAAGAAGGACTTGTTTCTTTTATCTGCAGCAACAGAACAGTTCTTCACGAATCTTAAACAATAGGCAACTACTCTTTTCAGCTTGTTCTAAGAAGAAAATTTTTGAAAAAATTCTGCCTTGAAAGTAGCATCAACCACATTCATCATAACCAGCTTGGATGTTCTTTTGGCTTTGGCAAACATGCTTTCGTGTAGTTGTGGATCCTCCTCAAACCTTCCATTAGGAAAAGTAGAACTATTTAACCAATCAGGTCCGTTGAACCACAAGTCGCACTTTTCTAGTTTAGTTGGGGGTATCCCTCACGTTCCACAATCACCAGGATTCTCCAAACCGCACACAAAGTTTCAGTGCACGTTAGGAGTCAGCTCTTGAATTGGTGCTACTCGATTAGCTACAAACGGTTGCCATCTTCTTGGTTCGGACTTCAACCATGCTAGTGTGATCTTGGAATCAGACCATGCAAATGTCTCAGATATTGGCACAGTTAGTGTTGGCAAGGTAGCTTGTAACAAATTGGTCAGAAGTAAGGCAGAACAGAGTTCCAGTCGAGGTAGAGACTGTGCATGGTTTTACTGGAGAGACACGTGTCTTGGAAGTTAGTAGTCTAGATGTCACGGCTTGGTTTGAATCTTTGGAACAAATGTATATAGCTGCACAGTAGGCCTTCTCTGAAGTATCACAGAATCCATGTACTTGAACGTCTGTAGCCTGTGGAATGAGGATATAGAGTGGAATCTTGATATTTGTAAGTAGAGGAAGCTGTTTTTAAAATACTCTCCATTGCCTTGCCAGAGAGTCTGGTAGTTCCTCATCCCAGCCTAGATGATGACTCCACAGCTCTTGGAGGAAGATTTTGGAAGTGATAACTGTAGGTGCCAACCAGCCCAAGGGGTCAAAGATTTTGGCAACTTTGGAAAGTACCTTGCGTTTAGTCCATACGTCGCTCTCATTGAGGAAGATGGTAAAGGTGAACTTGTCAACATCTGGAAGCCAAGCTATTCCCAGAATTTTGACCGGTTGGTCGTCGTTGATCATGTGTTTGGAATCAACGGTCTTTAACTCTTCCGAAATGTTTGCTAGTGCGTCAGGATCATTTGACACCCATTTGCATAGAGAAAATCCTCCTCTCTTCATCATTGCCTGCAGTTCGGACACCAGTTGAGTGGCTCCCTCTTTTGTTGCACTCCTGCTCAGCAAATCATCAATGTAAAAATGACAAAGGGTAGCTCTTGAAGCGTCTGGATAATTTTCTTGCTCGTCTATGACAAGCTGTCGTAAGGTTCTCGTGGAGAAGAATGTTGCTGAGGTCATACCGTACATAACGGTAATAAGACGATATTCCTTTACTTGTTCGGTTGGAGAATCCCTCCAAAAAATTCTTTGTCAGTCTACGTCTTCCTCATGAACTTTAATCTAGCGGAACATCTTTTCAACATCAGCGCAAATGGCTACACTGAAAAGTTGAAACTGGATGAGAATAGGGAAAAGTTCTGGCTGCACTCTTGGACCAACCAGGAGCAGATCATTGAGAGAGAGTCCGGATGAAGTTTTACTGGAAGAATCAAAGACTACACGAAGCTTTGTTGTGCAGCTAGTGTCTCTGACAACTCCATGGTGAGGAAGGTATAAACTTTTGATCTCATTAATGTCAGAGTCCGGAACCAGTTCCATGTGATTTAAGTGAAGATTCCTTCATAAATTTTCGATAGAGGTTGTATTTCTCAGGTTTAGAAATGAGATGTTGTTCCACGCTGATTAGCCTACGAATTGCATTTTGTTTTGAATTACCTAACCGTGTGGGAGAAGTGTGAAAAGGCAACCTTACTGTGTATCTACCATTCCCATCCCTAGAATGTGTCTTTACGAAATGATCTTCACAAGCCTCTTCTAA